GCTTTGATACAGCACTTTGGGAACCTCCAACTTCTTTTGCAATTACCTTTTGAGGCTTTCCCTCCTTATGGAGGGTGTCAGTGATGGTTGTCAGGTCAGCAGTCTTTCCCTATGATTGTGATTCCTACTGAACCAGACTGAGAGACCATTTTAAAGGCTCAGGAACCCTTTGCAGGTGTTATGGCTGAATGAGCTGATTAGAGTGGGACACTTTGAGCCGAGATTATTCCACCTTTTCACAATATTCTCATTTTTGTCTGAGATTGTGGATTTGGGGTTTTCATGAGCTTGTAAGCCAATAATCATCACAATGATGACAAATCACGGCTGGAACTATCTTGCTTTGCATGGAATGAGTCTCATATATTAGTGTCACCTTTTAAGTTGCTGAGCACTGAAATGGAATGAATGAATGCACCAGATTCTCATTTTTTTAGTTTCACCTGTATATCTTCTAGATTGTAAACTCCCAGGATCAGCCCCTCCCTCTTAGACTGTCAGCTCCCAGGATCAGCCCCTCCTCGTAGGACTGTCAGCTCCCAGGATCAGCCCCTCCCTCTTAGACTGTCAGCTCCCAGGATCAGCCCCTCCCTCGTAGACTGTTCAGCTCCCAGGATCAGCCCCTCCCTCTTAGACTGTCAGCTCCCAGGATCAGCCCCCCTCTTAGACTGTCAGCTCCAGGATCAGCCCCTCCCTCTTAGACTGTCAGCTCCCAGGATCAGCCCCTCCTATATTGAACTGTATTGTCTCCCGTTATATTGTACAGTGCGGAGCAAACTGTTGGCGCCATAAATCCTGTATAATTAATAATATATATGGAGCTCAGTCTACACACACAGCTGATACCATCTATGGCCAGAGGGAGAGGATTATAGGACATCCAAAGCAATAGCAGTGGGAACTCAGCACAGGGATGGTGGGAACCCTCATAATGGGCACAGCAGGGCTACAGAGCAAGGAACTCAGCACAGGGATGGTGGAACCCCTCATATTGGGCACAGCGGGGGTACAGACCGGGAACTCAGCACATGGATGGTGGGAACCCCTCATAATGGGCACAGCGGTTGTGCAGACCTGGGAACTTGGCACAGAGACAGTGGGAACCCCCTCATAATGGGCACAGCGGGGGTACAGAGAAACCCGGGGTGGAACTTGGCACAGGGGTCTACAGGGGAACTTGGCATGGTGGGGGAACCCCTCATAATGGGCACAGCGGGGGTACAGACCCAGGAACTTGGCACAGGGATGGTGGGAACCCCCAGATTTCAGGTTTCATTGGGGGGGGTCTGACAATCTTTTTCCTTGGTCTGTTTCCAGTAGATCGTCCAGCGGGAGGCCCTGTTGGGGTCATTATTACGATCGCTCTGCCCCGGTGACCCGCCATTCTCCCCCACAATCCCCGGTTACCTCTCTCCTGCAGGGAAGTGGCCTCAGTCGCTCACAATGCCAAGTGACTTCATCTCAGGGGCTGAGTTGGGGGGAAGGTGAATTGTCGGCACCTGGACATCATGTGGCTGCTAATCAGGAAGATCCGGCTGCTGGTGGACAGGACGGGTTTTCAGGATATTCTTTGGGCAGCTGCAGCAGACTGGAGGAGATCCTGGAAACCTGGCCTGCTGCACCCCAAACCACACAGAAGGTGAGTGCGGCGTTCTGTTGTTGGAGCTCCAAGGTTTTCGGGGTGATTTGCTGACCGGGGGTTTCGTATTTCCCATCCACACAATACCAATGTGGGCGGAGCTGAGGTTGGGTTCTGGGTGGAGTTGGGAACAGAGAATTGTGACCCCACAGGGGAGCTTTCCCTCACTTCCTGTCCCTATGACACCCATAGAAGTAGCGGGGAGAGAGGTTGTCACCGGGACAGGAAGGCACATTGGAGGGAATTCCTGCCACTTCTTGTTCTGCTCATACCTCTTCCAGCAGGTCGGGTCACCTGGATATCCCGCCGAGGGTCAGGTCGGGTCACCTGGATATCCCGCCGAGGGTCGGGTCACCTGGATATCCCGAGGGTCAGGTCGGGTCACCTGGATATCTCGCTGAGGGTCGGGTCACCTGGATATCTCGCTGAGGGTCAGGTCACCTGGATATCTCGCTGAGGGTTCAGGTCACCTGGATATCTCACTGAGGGTCAGGTCGGGTCACCTGGATATCTCGCTGAGGGTCGGGTCACCTGGATATCTCGCTGAGGTCAGGTCACCTGGATATCTCACCTGAGGGTTTCACCTGGATATCTCGCTGAGGGTCGGGTCAGGATATCGGAGGGTCACACCTGGATATCTCGCTGAGGGTCAGGTCACCTGGATATCTCGCTGAGGGTCAGGTCACCTGGATATCTCGGAGGGTCAGGTCACCTGGATATCTCACTGAGGGTCAGGTCGGGTCACCTGGATATCTCGCTGAGGGTCAGGTCACCTGGATATCTCGCTGAGGGTCAGGTCACCTGGATATCTCACTGAGGGTCAGGTCGGGTCACCTGGATATCTCGCTGAGGGTCGGGTCACCTGGATATCTCGCTGAGGGTCGGGTCACCTGGATATCTCGCTGAGGGTCGGGTCACCTGGATATCTCGCTGAGGGTCGGGTCACCTGGATATCTCGCTGAGGGTCAGGTCACCTGGATATCTCGCTGAGGGTCAGGTCGGGTCACCTGGATATCCCCCTGAGGGTCGGGTCTCCTGGATGCGATTTGGCTGGTCGGTGCACTTTTTGCCAAAAGGAGAATATTGATTTGATGCGACTTTGCACTCAGATAACATCACAATATCATGGAAGTCGCATCAAAGTAGCGCGGGAACCTTTATGTGTCCAAAGTCACATGTTGGGGTCACCACCACTAACCCATGTCCCTAACATGTGACTGCACACATAAAGGTTGCCGCGCTACTTTGATGCGATTTTGGATGGGAGCCACTTGGGTGTGACTTTGGATGGATACAACTCTTTATTATCCGCGAGCGCAGGGCTGGTGCTAGAATATTTTGCGCCCCAGGTGAGACCAGCTATTTGCCCCCCTCCCCCCCCCAAAAAAAATCACCTATAGTTCTACTTCACCCTCCTAGCACAACCCCCCCCCCCCCCCCAGCACAATTCCCATCCCCCCCTCCTAGCACAATTCCCCCCAAGCCCCCCCTCCTAGCACAATCCCCCCCCAATTTCCCCTCCTAGCACAATCCCCCCCATCCCCCCTTCCTAGCACAATTCCTACCCCCAAGCCCCCTCTCACCCAATCCCAACCCCCCTCCTAGCACAATCCCCCCCCCATCACCCCCCCTAGCACAATCCCCCCCCCCCCCATCACCCCCCCCTAGCACAATCCCCCCCCCAATCCCCCCTCCTAGTACAATCCCCCACCCCCCAATCCCACCTCCTAGCAAAATCCCATCCCTGCTCCTAGCACAATTCCCCCCCAATCCACCCTCCTAGCAGAATCCCCCCCTTCTAGCACAATTCCCCCCCCCTCCCCCCATTCCACCTCCTAGCACAATCCCCCCCAGCACAATTTTCCCCCTAATTCCCCCTCTTAGCACAATCCCCCCCAGTCCCCCCTCCTAGCACAATCCCCCCCCCCAATCTCCCCTCCTAGCACAATTCACCCCCCCGCATCCCACCTCCTAGCACAACCCCCCCCCCCCCCCAGTCCCACCTCCTAGCACAATTCCCCCCCATCCCTCCTCCTAGCATAACCTCCCCCCAATCCCCCCCCCTCCTCCTAGCATAAATCTCCCCTCCCAATCCTCTCACCTAGCACCCCCCCCTCCCACACTCCCCTCTCCTACCACAATTTCCCCCCCAATCCACCCTCCCAGCACCAATTCTCTTCCTTCAATCCCCCCACCTAGGACAAAATCCCCCCAATCCCTCCCACCTACCCCAGCACCCCCCTCAATGATCCGTCCATGATGGAGAGTAGGTGGGGCTGTGGCTGCACCCTAGGTAGTAGTGGGCCCTAGGCAGCTGCCTAGTTCTCCTAGTGGTAGCACGGGCCCTGCATGGGCGGGAACACATGGAATGGACATGCGTGTGCGCTCCGTTGCCCCTGTAGGCAGCGCGCTTCTGTGCGCGTGCGGACCGCGTGTGACTCTGCCTGCGGCGTGCTAGGAAGAGAATGAAGGCGCTGTAATGGAAAGCATGGCAGGTCCGCGCTGGGGCCCAATCACCCCCCCATGTGCGTTTCTGACCTCCTTCCGGAAATGCCAGCAGCCTGGCTGCCTCTGACTTCAGCATTTCCCGTATGGCTGCCCCGGAACAAGCATGAAGGAGGCGGAGTCAGGAATGGCGCGATTGTTTCGGGGCAGTCCCAACGAGAGCCTCGCAGCCAGGAAACCGGGCAATCTCAGCAGAAGGGGGTCCTCCAGGAGCCTTTAGATTGTAAGCTCTTGTGCGCAGGGCCCTCCTACCCCCTGTGAGGGGAATTCTGTTGTTTCCTCCGATTGTTCCGTATGTTGCAGCTCCATAACAATGTATCTGCGCTGAGGGCCCATGTCTGCTAAGCTGTGCTGCGACAAATGATGGCGACCCCAGAACGCGGATCAGAATCAAATTTAATTACATTGTAATGCGGAAATATTTACATAGTTTAGTGTCGTTTTGGGGTGACAAGACCCCCCCCCCCCCCAGGATTATGGTACAGTTTATAGGGCCCCCCCTCCAGCAACTGAAGGGGGAGTGGAGTCTATGCGATCATCTTCATGCTGCAGAGCGTTCAGTAGGCCCCTGTCGGAGTCTGGATGATCTATTGGCTGGTTAGTGAAGAGGCTCCGAGGGGGCGGTCTTAGTGCGGCGTAGATGGCGGTATTTCAAGTACAGGTTTGCAGATTTAGACTTGGGGCCGGCGTGCTGCAGCAGTCATGTGCGATCGAAGCCGCTGCCGCCGCCATCATGCAGTCTTTTTGTTTTTTACCCCGCGAGAGGCGGGTGGCTGAAATGTACAGGACGTTAGAAAGTTTTACAGATGGGCGGGGCTACCCCCGCAGGGGCGTGGTCCTGCTCCGCCCGTCTTCTCTAAGGCGGCTTCATCTCCAGTTTGCTGGTGGCGTGCTTGATCCGCTTGTTCTCGCGCAGGTTGCGCAGCCGGGCGTTCTTGTTGGTGATCTCCTCCACGTGCGTCGCTGGCGCCCAGCCCCTCTCTCCATCCGAGAGCCGGATCCCTTCCATCCAACCTGCGGAGGGAGCAAAGGGGACAATGTCAGCACCAGGCGGACGCACACAGCAGCCACATCACCCGATCCGCAGCATCTGACTGGGCCTGGGGCTTATTGGTGGAGTTATGACCGCAGGGGGGCCGCCCTCCCCTCCTGGCATCTCCAGGGCCATCTTAATAGTATCATGGGCCCCGGGACAAACGCATGCAATGGGGCCCCTTCCAGCCAGCCCCAATTTCCATGCCTACTCTGGGGCCCCTTCCATCCGGCCCCCAATTTCCACGCCTACTCTGGGGCCCCTTCCAGCCGGCCCCAATTTCTACACTCCTACTCTGGGGCTCCTTCCTGCCGGCCCCAATTTCCACTGCCTACTCTGGGGCCCCTTCCATCCGGCCCCAATTTCCACTCCTACTCTGGGGCCCCTTCCAGCCGGCCTCAATTTCCACGCCTACTCTGGGGCCCCTTCCAGCCGGCCCCAATTTCCATGTCTACTCTGGGGCCCCTTCCTGCCGGCCCCAATTTCCACGCCTACTCTGGGGCCCCTTCCAGCCGGCCCAATTTCCACGCCTACTCTGGGGCCCCTTCCAGCCGGCCCCAATTTCCACACCTGCTCTCAAGGATGAAGAATAAATAGCTGATAGCATGAAACATATTTAATAGGAAAACGTGCCATAAATCAAGGACTAATCAACACAAAGGGCACGGTAAGGGGGGGGGGGGAGTCAGGAGGGCACAGTACGGGGGGAGTCAGGAGGGCACAGTACGGGGGGGGGGGGGGGAGTCAGGAGGGCACAGTACGGGGGGGGGGGGGAGTCAGGAGGGCACAGTACGGGGGGGGAGTCAGGAGGGCACAGTACGGGGGGGGGGGGGGGGGGGGAGTCAGGAGGGCACAGTACGGGGGGAGAGTCAGGAGGGCACAGAGTAGGGGGGGAGTCAGGAGGGCAGAGTACAGGGGGGGGGAGTCAGGAGGGCAGAGTACAGGGGGGGGGAGGGAGGGCAGAGTACAGGGGGGGGGAGTCAGGAGGGCAGAGTACAGGGGGGGGGAGTCAGGAGGGCAGAGTACAGGGGGGGGGAGTCAGGAGGGCAGAGTACAGGGGGGGGGAGTCAGGAGGGCAGAGTACAGGGGGGGGGAGTCAGGAGGGCAGAGTCAGGGGGGGGGAGTCAGGAGTACAGGGGGGGAGGGAGGGCAGAGTCAGGGGGGCAGGAGGGCGCAGTACAGGGGGGGGGAGGAGTCAGGAGGACGCAGTACAGGGGGGGGAGTCAGGAGGACGCAGTTCAACAGGGGGGGAGTCAGGAGGGCGCAGTACAGGGGGGGAGTAAGGAGGGCAGAGTACAGGGGGGGAGTCAGGAGGGCAGGTACGGGGGGGGGGGGGGGAGTGAGTCAGGAGGGCACAGTACGGGGGGGGGAGTCAGGAGGGCACAGTACGGGGGGGGAGTCAGGAGGGCAGAGTACAGGGGGGGGGAGTCAGGAGGGCAGAGTACAGGGGGGGGGAGTCAGGGGGGAGTCAGGGGGGGGGAGTCAGGAGGGCAGTACAGGGGGGGGGAGGTCAGGAGGGCAGAGTTACAGGGGGGGGGAGTCAGGAGGGCAGAGTACAGGGGGGGGGAGTCAGGAGGACGCAGTACAGGGGGGGGGAGTCAGGAGGGCGCAGGGGGGGGAGTCACAGGGGGGGGGAGTCAGGAGGGCAGGTACAGGGGGGGAGTCAGGAGGGCAGAGTACAGGGGGGGGAGTCAGGGGGGGCAGTACAGGGGGGAGTCAGGAGGACGCAGTACAGGGGGGAGTCAGGAGGACGCAGTACAGGGGGGGAGTCAGAGGGACGCAGACAGGGGGGGAGTCAGGAGGGCGCAGTACAGGGGGGGTAGTAAGGAGGGCAGAGTACAGGGGGGGAGTCAGGAGGGCAGAGTACAGGGGGGGAGTCAGGAGGGCACAGTACTGGGATCAGGAAGGCAGAGTACAGGGGGGAGTCCAGAGGGCACACTATGGGGAGAGGCAGAAGGCCACAGTATGGGGGGAGTCAGGCGGGCACAGTATGGGGAGGAGGTAGAAGGACACAGCCAGGGGTGGACTGACAACTCATGGGGCCCCCGGGCAATAGGGGATCATGGGGCCTCTGTGTCCTTGCCCACACTCAAAGCACACCCAAAAAAGCCTATAAAAGGTACCAGAGGCATTTCATGGGGCCCCCTACTGACGCCGGGCCCTCGGGCAGTGCTGAGTGCTCGAATGGTCAGTCTGCCCCTGTGCACAGTACAGGGAGGAGGCAGGAGGGCACAATACTGGGATCAGGAGGGCACAATACGGGGAGGCAGAAGGGCACATTATGGGGGGGGGCACAATACTGGGATCAGGGGGTCACAGTACGGGGGGAGTCAGGAGGGCACAGTACAGGGTGTGTCAGGAGGGCACACATTATGGGGGGGGGGCTCAATACTGGGATCAGGAGGGCTCAATACTGGGATCAGGAGGGCACAATATGGGGGGGCAGAAGGGCACAGTATGGGGGGGGGCACACAATACTGGGATCAGGAGGGCACAATACTGGGATCAGGAGGGCACAGTAGGGGGGGACAGAAGGGCACAGTATGGGGGGGGCACAATACTGGGATCAGGAGGGCACAATACTGGGGGGACAGAAGGGCACAGGAGGGGGCACAATACTGGGATCAGGAGAGCACAGTACGGGGGGACAGAAGGGCACAGTATGGGGGGGGGGGGGAACAATACTGGGATCAGGAGGGCACAATACTGGGATCAGGGGGGACAGAAGGGCACAGTATGGGGGGGGGCACAATACTGGGATCAGGGGGGCACAGTACGGGGGGGACAGAAGGGCACAGTATGGGGGGGGCACAGTACTGGGATCAGGAGGGCACAGTAGGGGGGGACAGAAGGGCACAGTATGGGGGGGGCACAATACTGGGATCAGGAGGGCACAATACGGGGGGGACAGAAGGGCACAGTATGGGGGGGCACAATACTGGGATCAGGAGAGCACAGTACGGGGGGACAGAAGGGCACAGTATGGGGGGGGGGCACAATACTGGGATCAGGAGGGCACAATACTGGGATCAGGGGGGACAGAAGGGCACAGTATGGGGGGGGGCACAATACTGGGATCAGGGGGGCACAGTACGGGGGGACAGAAAGGCACAGTATGGGGGGGGACACAGTACTGGGATCAGGAGGGCACAGTACAGGTTCTGGGAAGCAGCCCCGGCTATCCTGGGACAGCTTAGAAAAAAACATTACTATCCTGGCAAATCCGGGACAGTTGGCAAGTATGTACACCTGGGGCCCCGGACAGTGCCTAGGGGTTCCTAATGCATTAAGACAGCCCTGGGCGTCACATTAATATTCAGAGATACCCCGGGGGGGGGGGGGGGGGGGTGGAGACAGGATCTGAACTCCAGACCAAACCTTTCTTCTTTTTTTTTTTAATTTCAGGTGGTACAGGAATTTCTATGTGTCCCCATTTAGGGTCTTGCTGTGATGACCCCATTACCTGGACAGGAAGTGAGGGGAAATCTCCCCACTGGGGACACAGATGGCGCTCCTCCCTCTCCCCCGCCCACGAGGTACCTCAGCTGAACTGTGATAGATTAATATCTGCCCCTTTGCCTACATTGAGCCTGACACTCCGGCTTGAGAGTCGCCTGGCAGTTGTCACCCGCTGCCTGTCGGTCTCCCAGCTCCTGAGTCCACATAACAGCCTCAGATATTTCAGCTCAGTAGATAAAGGAATGTAAAGAACAACAGAGCTCTGCTATGCGCTCTCAGGAGCCGGGAGAGACGGGCATTATTCTAGCCTTACACACCGTGTGTTACAACAGCCAATCAGATTTGGGCCGCCCCTTTTTATAGTGGAGGGCAGATAATAAAAGGAAGACTCTGATTGGTTGTTGTGAGCAGCCCAGACACTTCCCTGTCCTCCGTTGCTTCCACAACTGGCTCTAGAATTTCCCATCCCGACCCGCTGACGTGTTTATAGTCAAATGATGGAAAGCGCCCCTCCCCCCGCCTTTTCTTTGCCCCGCCCCCTCTTACCGTCGCTGGTCTTGGCGGTGAGGCGCAAGGATGTCGGCCTTCTCCAGCGTGAGCTCATCGTGCTCCTGGGCGGTGTACCCCTTAATGCACTGGACCTGAGGAGCGTCTGGGGAGGAGAGACATGGAGGGTGGTCAGCCAATGAGAAGAAAGGGGAGGGGTCAACAAATCGCCAAAAGCTGCGCTAATCCTGCACCGCGCTGCAAAGGGCCTAGACACCGAGCGGCCGCACATTTGCGTTCAATTATAAAAAAAATATGTGCTGAGAGCGCGCGCCCTGCCCGCTCCCAGCACGCATGTCCGGTACTCGCGGAAAGGTCCCGATCTCCTCTTTCAATCGCGACCTTTCCCAATCATGTGACGGCACGTGACGGCGGTCGGTGCATCACATGATCCCCAAACCCCGCCCGCCCTCCTCCTGCTTCTTAAACTCTTAAACGTGGCCGGGACGCGCCGGCATGAAGGGGTTAATTTAAATAGGGACTGTGCGTTCCAGTGCAATTTTGGTGCGTTTTCGATGCGTTTTACCGCGTCCCAGTAAGAACTGTGCAGGGAAAAATGCGGCCTGTTCTTTTTTTTTTTTTTTCTGCATTCGGAACGCACTGGAACTGCGAGAGTGCTGATGGGAACTATGACACTGACCACCATATCATCTACTTTCTGTGCATTTTGGATGCAGAAAAAAGCAACTGAAACGCATGGAGTGTGATCCGGTCCTAATGCAGGAAATAGACGGGTCGAAAACCGGCCGTTTTTAAAAAAAAAAAGAAAAATCTGTCGTTCAATCGGCCAACGTTACCACCAACGGTAAAAAAAGTGGCTGATTTTCGTCCCGTCTGTGGCCGGCATTTAACCCCATAATTACTTCTGTCCCTGCAGAGAGCTCCGCTATTAGATTTTATATGAAAGTCTTGCAGTTGCAACAATGTATCCATTTGTATCTATTTGTATCCATTTGTATCGGTATCCATTTCGGAGATGTTTTTATTCGGATACAAATGGATACATTGTTGCAACTCCAAGACTTTTCATATAAAATATAATAGCGGACTGGAATTCTTCTTCTTCTTCTATTCGCTATTAATGGCGATTCTTCTTTTATTCGCTATCCGGCGCCATTCTCGCGCTCTTCCAGGAATTATGCTAATCACCCCCTTCTAGGCCTCATTTGCATACATTTCCCATGACTCCCTGCCAGTGACGTCGGACGCACCTTCGCTGTCGGAGACGTTCTCCAGGTCGATGAGCGGCTTGGAGGGACACATGGCGGAGATCCAGCGCTGCTTCTGGCTCCTGCGGAGAGACGGGAAAGGTTAGGACCGCCTCCTGCGCTGTCACTTTATATACCTCTCTGAGCGCCGGGCCGGTCTGCTTTATAGAATTTCCACCGACTGGAACATCAAAACGCAACACTCAACACGCAACACCCAACACTCAACCCGCAACACTCCACTGACATATGCATTCTTCCAATCACAGAGAAGACATGAAAATGACCCAACACATTGCAGAGGCCGGAGATCCCTTCATCAGGGCTTGAGGACTGGAAACAATGGATACAGACCGGACTGAGCGAAGTCCATACTCTATACATTCTATTCTATATCCCGTCCAGTCTGTATACATTGTATCCTTCATCCCATCCAGTCTGTATACATTGTATCCTTCATCCCGTCCAGTCTGTATACATTGTATCCTTCATCCCGTCCAGTCTGTATACATTGTATCCTTCATCCCGTCCAGTCTGTATACATTGTATCCTTCATCCCGTCCAGTCTGTATACATTGTATCCTTCATCCCGTCCAGTCTGTATACATTGTATCCTTCATCCCGTCCAGTCTGTATACATTGTATCCTTCATCCCGTCCAGTCTGTATACATTGTATCCTATATCCCGTCCAGTCTGTATACATTGTATCCATCATCCCATCCGTCCAGTCTGTATACATTGTATCCTTCATCCTGTCCAGTCTGTATATACATTGTATCCTATATCCTTCATCCTGTCCAGTCTGTATACATTGTATTCTATATCCTGTCCAGTCTGTATACATTGTATTCTATCATCCAGTCCAGTCTGTATACATTGTATCCTTCATCCCGTCCAGTCTGTATATACATTGTATCCTTTATATCCCGTCCAGTCTGTATACATTGTATCCATCCCATCCAGTCTGTATACATTGTATTCTATATCCTGTCCAGTCTGTATACATTGTATCCTTCATCCCGTCCCTGTCCAGTCTGTCCAGTATACATTGTATCCATCATCCCGTCCAGTCTGTATACATTGTATTCTATCATCCCGTCCAGTCTGTATACATTGTATCCATCATCCCGTCCAGTCTGTATACATTGTATCATTGTATTCATCCCGTCCAGTCTGTATACATTCCAGTCTGTATTGTATCCTTCATCTCTGTATTCATTGTCCAGTCTGTATACATTGTATCCTTCATCCCGTCCAGTCTGTATACATTGTATCCTTCCCGTCCAGTCTGTATCCCGTCCAGTCTGTATACATTGTATCCTTCATCCCGTCCAGTCTGTATACATTGTATTCTTCATCCTGTCCAGTCTGTATACATTGTATTCTTATCCCGTCCAGTCTGTATACATTGTATTCTTCCCGTCCAGTCTGTATACATTGTATCCTTCATCCCATCCAGTCTGTATACATTGTATTCTTCATCCCGTCCAGTCTGTATACATTGTATCCTTCATCCCATCCAGTCTGTATACATTGTATTCTTTCCCGTTCTGTATACATTGTATCCCCGTCCAGTCTGTATACATTGTATCCTTCATCCCGTCCAGTCTGTATACATTGTCTGTATACATTGTATCCTTTCATCCCGTCCAGTCTGTATACATTGTATCCTTCATCCCGTCCAGTCTGTATACATTGTATTCTATATCCCGTCCAGTCTGTATACATTGTATCCTTCATCCCGTCCAGTCTGTATACATGTATCCTTCATCCCGTCCAGTCTGTATACATTGTATCCTTCATCCCATCCAGTCTGCATACATTGTTTCCAATCCTCAAGCCTTGATGAAGGGATCTCTGGCCTCTGAAATGTGTTGGGTCACTTTTCTATGATCGGAATAAATGTTTTCCTGGATTATTAACTCTTTACTTGGCACCTCAATTTCAGATTCATCGACCTAAAACAGTCGATTGTATGAACACACACACACCCCATTGCCTTTCTCCTCTCATCCGCCCCTCCCCCCCTCCCCCATATCTGCCGTCACTCACTCGCTCTGCGCACGAAGCAGGATCTGGTGTTTCGGCCGTTGCTCGTGGCACAGCTGGACATGGAACACCTCGCCCGGACCTCCTGCAGCTTCCAGCTCAGATCCGTCACCTTCAGGTCACACACCTGGGCATGTGCAAAGACCGCAAACCGGCCCAGCCTGGGGTGCAGAAAGATCGATTATTAGATGGGAAGAATATCTGGTGCTGTGTGAGTCCACCAATCGTATGTGGACTCCAGACCAAGCTGAGAAGGCGTGGGACAATGAGCGTTTAATTTCCCTAAAACTTTGAAAATTGGGAGAAATCGGCAAATTTTTGTCATTTTGGTGAACTCGCTTTCGCCAAAATCACTTTGTACATTCCTAATTGAAGCATGTAGCTGCCAATGGCCAACCAGATGGTGGAGGAAGGCAATGGACCAATCCCATGAACCGCCCAACCTTCTTGGTGTCCAGAGACCAGCGGCGGACTGACCATTCGAGCACTCGGGCGCTGCCTGAGGGCCCAGGGTCAGTAGGGGGCCCCATGAGATGCCCCTTGAAGCTTTTATAAGCTTTTTTGGGTGTGTTTTGAGTGTGGGCAAGGACACGGGCCCCATGATCCCCAATTGCCCAAGGGCCCATGAGTTGTCAGTCTGCCCCTGCCATAGACTGTGTTATTGGTTGGATCCTGGTTGAGGACATGGAATGCTGAGCAATGTTGGGGAGACGGGTTCTCTTTGCCGGGGAACTCACTCCTTCTTCCTGGAGAGCAGCAGGCAGTCATTGAACAGATGCAGGTAGACGGGTTTGGGGCTGAGTTTGAAGCGGGATCCTGCTGCATTCGGGATCTGCATGTCCAGTTCCACCAGCTCCCCGTGCTTCACCAGCCAACGAGACTGCGAGATCAGAGGGAAGATCTGTGGAGGAAAGAGACAGTCAGACCTTCTACAGGGGCCCTTTGGGGCTCCTAATCATAGCGAGGTTCTAGTTACAGAGTTAGTCTGGTTGAAAAAAAGTCCATCTGGTTTAACCAATAAAAAGGTAAAAAAAAAATTATACAATCCTCCACCCACAGTGGATCCAGAAGAAGGCAGAAACCCAGCAAAGCATGATCCAATCTGCTCCTGCGGGAGAAAAAAAAATCCTTCCCGATCCCCCCGAGAGGCAATCGGATATTCCCTGGATCAACGTTCCCTATAAATGTTATATTCTGTGTATCCAAGAAAGGATCCAGGACTTTCCTACAGCAATCCACTGAGCTGGCCACAACCAACGCTTGAGGGAGTCATTTTCACAGCTCTTACCATGAAGAAGCCTTTCCATATTTGGAGGTTAAATCTCTTTTCCTCCAAACGTAAAGAGCGCCCCCTTGTCCTCTGTGGTGACCTCGGGGAATAACTCTACACCGAGTTCACTGTGTGCCACCCGCCATCCTGTAGGGGGTCCATACATGCAGATGGAGCTACAGGAAGCCTTTCCATGGCAATGCCTAGCCCACCATGAACCATCCATACCGGCTGTGACATCACACCCCTCTTCCAAAACCAGCCTATCCCCACCCCCACCTTACCTTACTCTCAAAGTGAATCTTCTTGTTGAGGTGGATCAACTCTTCTGTTCTCTTCATAGATTGGACGCTGGCGTTACATTCCTTCACCAGCTGAGGAGGAAAAAAGCCGCCATTAGATACACTATAGTTATGAGACACCATATTCTTCCAGACATAGATTGTAAGCTCCTCCGCACAGACCCCACAAACCCTCCATTTCAGCTCTTTGTCCTGAGAGCTCCATATCAGATTATCCATCCTATCCGCCACCACTCCATGTGGGACCATCATTCCTATCCGCCACTGATCCATATGGGACCATCCTTCCTATCCGCCACCACTCCATATAGGACCATCCCTCCAATCTGCCACCACTCCATATGGGACCATCCCTCCAATCTGCCACCACTCCATATAGGACCATCCCTCCAATCTGCCACCACTCCATATAGGACCATCCCTCCAATCTGCCACCACTCCATATGGGACCATCCTTCCAATCTGTCACCACTCCATATGGGACCATCCCTCCAATCTGCCACCACTCCATATGGGACCATCCCTTCAATCTGCCACCACTCCATATGGGACCATCCCTCCAATCTGCCACCACTCCATATGGGACCATCCCTTCAATCTGCCACCACTCCATATGGGACCATCCTTCCAATCTGCCACCACTCCATATGGGACCATCCCTCCAATCTGCCACCACTCCATATGGGACCATCCCTTCAATCTGCCACCACTCCATATGGGACCATCCTTCCAATCTGTCACCACTCCATATGGGACCATCCTTCCAATCTGTCACCACTCCATATAGGACCATCCCTCCAATCTGCCACCACTCCATATGGGACCATCCCTCCAATCTGCCACCACTCCATATGGGACCATCCTTCCTATCTGCCACTGATCCATATGGGACCATCCTTCCTATTCGCCACTGATCCATATGGGACCATCCTTCCTATCCGCCACCACTCCATGTGGGCCATCCTTCCTATCCGCCACCACTCCATGTGGGACCATCATTCCTATCCGCCACCACTCCATATGGGACCATCATTCCAATCTGCCACCACTCCATATGGGACCATCCTTCCAATCTGCCACCGCTCCATATGGGACCATCCTTCCTATCCGCCACTGATCCATATGGGACCATCATTCCTATCCGCCACTGATCCATGTGGGACCATCATTCCTATCCGCCACTGATCCATGTGGGACCATCATTCCTATCCGCCACTGATCCATGTGGGACCATCATTCCTATCCGCCACTGATCCATGTGGGACCATCATTCCTATCCGCCACTGATCCATGTGGAAACCGTCCTCCTATCCGCCACTGATCCATATGGGACCATCATTCCTATCCGCCACTGATCCATGTGGGACCATCATTCCTATCCGCCACTGATCCATATGGGACCATCATTCCTATCCGCCACTGATCCATGTGGGACCATCATTCCTATCCGCCACTGATCCATGTGGGACCATCATTCCTATCCGCCACTGATCCATGTGGGACCATCATTCCTATCCGCCACTGATACATGTGGGACCATCCTTCCTATCCGCCACTGATCCATATGGGACCATCCTTCCTATCCGCCACTGATCCATATGGGACCATCCTTCCTATCCGCCACTGATCCATATGGGACCATCCTTCCTACCCGCCACTGATCCATATGGGACCATCCTTCCTATCCGCCACTGATCCATATGGGACCATCCTTCCAATCTGCCACCGCTCCATATGGGACCATCCTTCCAATCTGCCACCGCTCCATATGGAACCATTCTCCCTATCCACCACTGATCCATATGGAACCATCCCTCCAATCTGCCACCGCTCCATATAGGACCATCCTTCCTATCCGCCACTGATCCATGTGGGACCATCCTTCCTATCTGCCACCACTCCATATGGGACTATTATTTCTATCTGCCACACTTCCATATGGGACTGTCCTTCCTATCTACCAAATGAGAGGCCTGGAATACAACAGCCATTACTGCAACCCAGCTGGAGCCACCGATGTCCTCCAAATCCACCTGCACTACATTGCTAGGCACTGAGCTGAACCAGAGACACCAAAATACGGGACCACAGAGAGGGACGATAGGAGTGTTCTCAGACGACGTGATTTTGTTGCACAATCAGTGATTTTGTGTTTGATTTACAAAAGTCTGATGTTTACCATGCTGTGAAATTACCATCAAAAATTCCTCTAAAAGCTGGCAGTGCCCAGCCCAGATCCGAGGGCTTGGGGGTGATCCCAGGGTTTGGGGGAGATCCGAGGGCTTGGGGGTGATCCCAGGGTTTGGGGGAGATCCGAGGGCTTGGGGGTGATTCCAGAGCTTGGGTGTGATCCCAGGGCTGGGGGTGATCCCAGGGCTTGGGGGTGATTCCAGAGGTTGGGGGTGATCCCAGGGCTTGGGGGGGTGATCCCAGGGCTTGGGGGTGATCCGAGGGCTTGGGGGTGATCCCAGAGCTTGGGGGTGATCCCACGGCTGGGGGTGATCCCACGGCTGGGGGTGATCCCAGAGCTTGGGTGTGTGATCCCAGAGCTTGGGGGTGATCCCAGAGCTTGGGGGTGATCCCACGGCTGGGGGTGATCCCAGAGCTTGGGTGTGATCCCAGAGCTTGGGTGTGATCCCAGAGCTTGGGTGTGATCCCAGAGCTTGGGGGAGATCCCTGGGCTTGGGGGTGATCCCAGGGCTTGGGGGTGATTCCAGAGCTTGGGTGTGATCCCAGGGCTGGGGGGTGATCCCAGGGCTTGGGGGTGATTCCAGAGGTTGGGTGTGATCCCAGGGCTTGGGGGTGATCCCAGGGCTTGGGGGTGATTCCAGAGGTTGGGGGTGATCCCAGGGCTTGGGGGTGATCCCAGGGCTTGGGGGTGATCCCACGGCTGGGGGTGATCCCAGAGCTTGGGTGTGATCCCAGGGCTTGGGGGTGATCCCTGGGCTTGGGGGTGATCCGAGGGCTTGGGTGTGATCCCAGGGCTTGGGGGTGATTCCAGGGCTTGGGGGTGATTCCAGAGGTTGGGGGTGATTCCAGAGGTTGGGGGTGATTCCAGAGGTTGGGGGTGATTCCAGAGGTTGGGGGGTGATCCCAGAGGTTGGGGGTGATTCCAGAGGTTGGGGGTGATCCCAGGGGGGGTTGGGGGTTGGGGTGATCCCAGGGCTGGGGGTGATCCCAGAGCTTGGGTGTGATCCCAGGGCTGGGGGTGATCACAGAGCTTGGGTGTGATCCCAGGGCTTGGGGGTGATCCGAGGGCTTGGGGGTGATTCCAGAGGTTGGGTGTGATTCCAGGGCTTGGGGGTGATTCCAGGGCTTGGGGGTGATTCCAGGGCTTGGGGGTGATTCCAGAGGTTGGGTGTGATCCCAGGGCTTGGGGGAGATCCCTGGGCTTGGGGGTGATCCCAGGGCCCGGGGGCGATCCGAGTGCTTGGTGAGTTGCTTGGATCACCCCCAAGCTCTGGGATCACCCCCAAGACACGTCATTCATACAATGCCATCCAAACATGAGTTCCAGAAACTCGGCCCTTTCCTTTCATTCTTCTATTTTTTTTTTTTGTGTATTTGTTGGCATTTGACCTTTTTAAACAATAAAAAACAAAACTAAAACCAAAACAAAGTTCAGGAATGTATTTGTGTTTTTGTGTATTTGTGTTTTTATTTCCTTGTTTTTATTATAAAAAAATAAAATAATAAAAAACACAAATACGCAAAACACAAATACAATCCTGTATACGGCTCCTTCCTTTTATTCGTTGACTATTTTTGCTCCTTCCGTGAAAAAAAAAAACATCAAATAATAATAAAATGCCATAAAAATCTAATGAAAGTGACATTTATGACACAAGAAGCCCCCAGGAGTCATTTAGAGCTCATTGTACCCTGAATATCGCAGGAGACCCCCCTTCATTCATTCTCTCTTTCCCATTGACACCATGAAAATTTTACCAAAATTTTGGCAAAGAGAAAGCTCTGAATTTTGCAATCTCAGCTCGTGGAGAGGCTGAGATGTCATTTCCAATCTTGCTGTTCGTGAGCCAAAATTCAATATATATTTTTCAGTGGTGACATTTTAGGAATGATCAAAATTATTGGGGGGGGGGGGGGGGAGGGGTTAATGGAGATTCGGCGTTCATCCATAGCGAAGGTTCTGGACAACAGAAAATAGCAGACCGCTGATGTGAGATGTTATTGGTCAGAGGCGTCTGTGGCATGTGGGACAGGAAAGGTCAGCCGGTCTGCGTCACAATGTACTGTCTGTCTCGGCAGGTGGCGCGTCTTCCGCAGACCCCAGTCAGTGACACCCCAGAATCGCACCCAGGTGTCACATCTCACCCTCCTGCAAACTGACCACAGCTGCAGGAATGCCGGATACAAACAGTCTGCTGTGTATGTGTGTCAATAAACCCCTTCACAGGATGACAGCTGCCCCGCCGAGACACCATGGGGGTCAGACCTGGAGGTCCGCATCTGAGACTGAAATCTTTTCCATAGCACCAAATTTCTTAAATTAAAAACAATCTTTATAGGGAAGATATAATATCTCCCATAGCTGCTGCGATTGCAGGATAGGCCCCGCTGAGAAGCTGCTGAGATTGCAGGATAGGCCAAGCTGAGCAGCTGCTGAGATTGCAGGATAGGCCCCGCTGAGAAGCTGCTGAAATTGCAGCTAGAGCCAAGACTTGACAGGCCAAGCTGAGCAGCTGTTGAAAGTGCAGGATAAGCCCCGTTGAGCAGCTGCTGAGATTGCAGGATAGGCCCCGCTGAGCAGCCGCTGAGATTGCAGGATAGGCCCCGCTGAGCAGCTGTTGAGATTGCAGAATGGGCCGCATTGAGCAGGCGCTGAGATTGCAGGATAAATAGGCCACACTGAGATTGCAGGATAAGCCGCACTGAGATTGCAGGATAAGCCGCACTGAGATTGCAGGATAAGCCGCACTGAGCAGCCGCTGAGATTACAGGATAAGCCGCACTGAGCAGCCGCTGAGATTGCAGGATAGGCCCCGCTGAGCAGCCGCTGAGATTGCAGGATAGGCCGCACTGAGATTGCAGGATAGGCCGCACTGAGCAGCCGCTGAGATTGCAGGATAGGCCGCACTGAGATTGCAGGATAGGCCCCGCTGAGCAGCAGCCGCTGAGATTGCAGGATAGGCCACACTGAGCAGCCGCTGAGATTGCAGGATAGGCCGCACTGAGAGGATAGCCGCACTGAGCAGCCGCTGAGATTGCAGGATAGGCCGCACTGAGCAGCCGCTGAGATTGCAGGATAAGCCGCACTGAGCAGCCGCTGAGATTGCAGGATAGGCCGCACTGAGCAGCCGCTGAGATTGCAGGATAGGCCGCACTGAGCAGCCGCTGAGATTGCAGGATAGGCCGCACTGAGTTTGTAGCAGAAAGGATTGCAGGATAGGCCGCACTGAGCAGCCGCTGAGATTGCAGGATAGGCCGCACTGAGCAGCCGCTGAGATTGCAGGATAGGCCGCACTGAGCAGCCGCTGAGATTGCAGGATAGATTGCACTGAGCAGTAGCTGAAAGATTGCAGGATAGGCCGCACTGAGCAGCCGCTGAGATTGCAGGATAGGCTGCACTGAGTTTGTAGCAGAAGGCATTGCCTTTGCACTGGAGAACAGCAGAGCGCAGTCACCGCATTGCTCAGCAGGAAGATCAGCCAATCACAAATGGGTCTTCGGAGACATTATGTTGATTTAAAGGGGATTTCTGCCCAGACTATTCCTGAAGCGTCCAGCAGATGTCACTAGAGCCGTGCTCTGGCCTGTGATTGGCCAATCTGATACAGATTAGAAGATGATTGGTCGGTAGATGCGTTCGAGCCGCACAATGCATGTAATGGACCCGCAGGGCCTGGCGCTGGCCGTTCAGTTACCTTCTTGAGCTCGGTGAACGCCTGGCTGGCCGTCTCTTCGTTCTGCGATCCGGGCGCCGTGTGCTTCAGGATATTCTGCAGAAAGAAGACAACGCTGAGGAATCGCTCCACCCAAAACCGACTCATTACTTCTGCTGTGATGGCAAACGCTGCAGCATGAAAAAGAGGGGGAATGGAAGACTGGAGGGGGGGATGGAGGGGGGGGTATAAGACTTGGGGGGGGGGGTGGAAGGGGGGATATAAGATTGGAGGGGGGGATAGAAGACTGGAGGGGGGAATGGAGGGGGGATATAAGACCGGAGGGGGGGGTGGGAGGGGGGATATAAGACTTGGGGGGGGGGTGAAGAGAGGATATAAGACTGGAGGGGGGGTGGAGAGAGGGATATAAGACCGGAGGGGGGGGGTGGAGGGGGGATATAAGACTTGGGGGGGTGGAGAGGGGTGGAGGGGGGGTGGAGAGAGGATATAAGACCGGAGGGGGGGGGGGTGGAGAGAGGATATAAGACTGGAGGGGGGGGGGTGGAGGGAGGATATAAGACTGGAGGGGGGGGTGGAGAGAGGATATAAGACTGGAGGGGGGGATTGAGGGGGATAGAAGACTGAAGGGGGGGGGATGGAGGGAGGATAGAAGGTGGATTTGGCAGTTGGGAGGAGTAGCAGGAAAGTATTTCGGTGATTTTGGGGTGGAGCCCTTAGGCAGTGGCCTCACTTGCCTTAGCATCGCCCAGATCGGGGCACAGAGGGGGAGGGGCCCTACACGGGGTCACCGTACCTCCACCAGCATCTTCAGCCGCATGATCCTCTGGAAGGGCAGGATGAGGAAGGAGGTCAGAGGGAGGCGTTGGCACACTTGGTCTTCCTCCAGCTTGGCCAGGATCCCCCGGAAACGGGCGTTTTCCTGTCTGGGGGGAGAAAATGAAGGGCGGGTCAGCTGTCCAGGTATAGGCGGAGTCACCTGCTGACTTCATACATCTCTAGGGGGCACCAACATAAGGATTCCCCTCCCCCACCTTGTTCGGTTATAGGCGGAGTCTGGTGGCATGCTGCGTCCCCCCCACACGCAAGGTTTCCCCTCCCCCGCCTTGTTCGGTTATAGAAGTCTGGCGGCGTGCTGCGCCCTCCCACACGCAAGGTTTCCCCTCCCCTGCCTTCTTCGGTTATATGCGGAGTCTGGAGGCGTACTGCGCCCTCCCACATGCAAGGTTTCCCCTTCCCTGCCTTGTTCAGGTTATAGGCGGAGTCTGGAGGCGTACTGCGCCCTCCCACGCAAGGTTTCCCCTCCCCTGCCTTCTTCGGTTATATGCGGAGTCTGGAGGCGTACTGCGCCCTCCCACACGCAAGGTTTTCCCTTCCCCGCCTTCTTCGGTTATAGGCAGAGTCTGGAGGCGTGCTGCGCCCTCCCACACACACAAGGATTCCCCTCCCCCACCTTGTTTGGTCATAGGCAGTGTCTGGTGGCATGCTGCGCCCTCCCACACACACAAGGATTCCCCTCCCCCACCTTGTTCGGTTATAGACGGAGTCTGGTGGGTGCTGCGTCCCCCCCACTCCAGGATTCCCCTCCCCTACCTTAGGCGGAGTCTGGCGGCGTGCTGCGCCCTCCCACAAACAAGGATTGCCTCATCTTATTCAAGTATAGATGGAGCCTGGGGGGGAGGGGGGCTCCAACATATTGCCCCCTCCCCCCTGGGCTGTGTACTCCCAGTGCCCCCTTCCCATTGGTTGCAAACGGCCCATAAAGGCCAAGCGGGGGAGGGGCACTTACAGCAGCCGTTGGTAGGTCTGCTCCTGGTAGGCCTGGTTGGTGACATAAGGTAGGTACACCCTCCGCAGCTCGGGGCAATGTCGCAGGACGATGTCACAGACGTCAAATCGCAGGATGTCCTCCTCCAACCGCTCCTCCAGGTCAGTCAGGAACCTGCAACAAGGAGAATGACACTTTCACCCAACATTCACCTTCATCCTAAACACCCGAACCCGGGAGATTCACCTGCAGAGAATGTGATTATCACCCAACATTCACTTGTTTACGGCCCCATCCTTGTCGGTATGGTGGGGGATGGGATTGTGTACGGTGGGGGATGGGATTGTGTACGGTGGGGGATGTGATTGTGTACGATGGGGGATGGGATTCTGTACGATGGGGGTTGTGATTCTGTACGATGGGGGATGGGATTCTGTACGATGGGGGTTGTGATTCTGTACGGTTGGGGATTGGATTCTGTACGATGGGGGATGGGATTGTGTACGGTGGGGGATGGGATTGTGTACGGTGGGGGATGTGATTGTGTACGGTGGGGGATGTGATTGTGTACGGTGGGGGATGGGATTGTGTACGGTGGGGGATGTGATTGTGTACGGTGGGGGATGGGATTGTGCACGGTGGGGGATGGGATTGTGTACGGTGGGGGATGTGATTGTGTACGGTGGGGGATGGGATTGTGTACGGTGGGGGTTGTGATTCTGTACGGTGGGGGATGGGATTCTGTACGATGGGGGTTGTGATTCTGTACGGTGGGGGATGGGATTGTGTACGATGGGGGTTGTGATTCTGTACGGTGTGGGATGGGATTCTGTACGATGGGGGATGGGATTCTGTACGATGGGGGATGGGATTCTGTACGGTGGGGGTTGTGATTCTGTACGGTGGGGGATGGGATTCTGTACGATGGGGGTTGTGATTCTGTACGATGGGGGTTGTGATTCTGTACGATGGGGGTTGTGATTCTGTACGATGGGGGATGGGATTCTGTACGATGGGGGTTGTGATTCTGTACGATGGGGGTTGTGATTCTGTACGATGGGGGATGGGATTCTGTACGGTGGGGGTTGTGATTCTGTACGGTGGGGGATGGGATTCTGTACGATGGGGGTTGTGATTCTGTACGATGGGGGTTGTGATTCTGTACGGTGGGGATGGGATTCTGTACGGTGGGGGATGGGATTCTGTACGATGGGGGATGTGATTCTGTACGGTGGGGGATGGGATTCTGTACGGTGGGGGATGTATTCTGTACGGTGGGGGATGGGATTCTGTACGATGGGGGATGTGATTCTGTACGATGGGGGATGGGATTCTGTACGGTGGGGGATGGGATTCTGTACGGTGGGGGATGGGATTGTGTACGGTGGGGATGGGATTCTGTACGGTGGGGGATGGGATTGTGTACGGTCGGGGATGGGATTGTGTACGGTGGGGGATGGGATTGTGTACGGTGGGGGATGGGATTCTGTACGGTGGGGGATGGGATTCTGTACGGTGGGGGATGGGATTCTGTACGATGGGGGATGGGATTCTGTACGGTTGGGGATTGGATTCTGTACGATGGGGGATGGATTCTGTACGGTGGGGGATGGGATTCTGTACGGTCGGAGATGGGATTCCATACCTCTCGCTGATCTCCTTCACTTCGGGCAGTTTGGAGAAGAGCCATTGTTTCTCCTGCGCCCCCAGACACTCGTTCAGCTCCGGTGAGTTCAGGAAATGATCGACCACGATGGACAGACTGTTCACATACGACGCCTCCGACGTCACCAACTCAAACTTGGCCTACGGAAAGATGGCGGAGCGATCAATAGAGAACATTCATCACAGCTCATAGGAGGCATTTCCTCAGTCTCCCCTCCCCCAGTGATCAGGCTGTACATTGTAACTTTGTAGAAGGAGGAGGAGTCATTTCCTCAGTCTCCCCTCCCCCAGTGATTAGGCTGTACATTGTAACTTTGTAGAAGGAGGAGGAGTCATTTCCTCAGTCTCCCCTCCCCCAGTGATCAGGCTGTACATTGTAACTTTGTAGAAGGAGGAGGAGTCATTTCTTCAGTCTCCCCTCCCCCCCCAGTGATCAGACTTCACTTCAAATGAAAAGAAAAACCTAATCCCATATCAGAGGCTCGTGGTGCCTGACTCCTCGTACGGATCTCAACGGAGGCAAGACGAGTCGGGAGGATGTCCGCTGGGTTTGGTGAACGGCGAAGAACCAAGGACTACTAGGATGTTACCTCGCAGCTTCTGATTGGATGACGGTTTTCATGGCGGGAGAATTGCTATGCAAGACTTTGGCATCTGAAACTCCGACACGTCTACATTGCAGAAGAATAGAGGCCGCTTCTTCACAGCAGACTATCCCAACATGGCGGAAACCCCGAAATAATGGGGGAAGCCCCACTAGTGTAATCCTCTCTACAGAACAGTGATGAGCGAGGTGGAGATACCATCAGAAATACGGGAATGAAGACCTTGGAGAACCCAGAATATCTGACACCCCGAGGCTAATCAACAGGGAAAATTGTACTCTCCCCTTATAATGGCAATCAGTGGAGGAGGTCCCTCTAACATTGGTGGTCTGTAGAGAGAAGGTCCACCTAATAATGGTGGTCGGTAGAGAAGGTCCCCCTAATACTTGTGGTCAGTGGAGAAGGTGTCCCCTAAAACTGGTGGTCAGTAGAAAAGGTCCCTCTAACATTGGTGGTCGGTAGAGAAGGTCCCCTGACCATTGATGGCTAGTGGAGAAGGTCCCCTTAATACTTGTGGTCAGTGGAGAAGGTCCCCCTAAAACTGGTGGTCAGTAGAAAAGGTCCCTCTAACATTGGTGGTCGGTAGAGAAGGTCCCCTTACCATTGATGGCTAGTGGAGAAGGTCCCCCTAATACTTGTGGTCAGTGGAGAAGGTCCCCCTAAAACTGGTGGTCAGTAGAAAAGGTCCCTCTAACATTGGTGGTCGGTAGAGAAGGTCCCCTTACCATTGATGGCTAGTGGAGAAGGTCCCCCTAATACTTGTGGTCAGTGGAGAAGGTCCCCTAAAACTGGTGGTCAGTAGAAAAGGTCCCTCTAACATTGGTGGTCGGTAGAGAAGGTCCCCTTACCATTGATGGCTAGTGGAGAAGGTCCCCTTAATACTTGTGGTCAGTGGAGAAGGTCCCCCTAAAACTGGTGGTCAGTAGAAAAGGTCCCTCTAACATTGGTGGTCGGTAGAGAAGGTCCCCTTACCATTGATGGCTAGTGGAGAAGGTCCCCCTAATACTTGTGGTCAGTGGAAAAACTGGTGGTCAGTAGAAAAGGTCCCTCTAACATTGGTGGTCGGTAGAGAAGGTCGATGGCTAGAGAAGGTCCCCTTACCATTGATGGCTAGTGGAGAAGGTCCCCTTAATACTTGTGGTCAGTGGAGAAGGTCCCCCTAAAAAACTGGTGGTCAGTAGAAAAGGTCCCTCTAACATTGGTGGTCGGTAGAGAAGGTCCCCTTACCATTGATGGCTAGTGGAGAAGGTCCCCCTAATACTTGTGGTCAGTGGGTCAGAAGGTCCCCCTAAAACTGGGCTAGTGGAGGGTCAGTAGAAAAAAACTGGTCCCCTCTAACATTGGTGGTCGGTATAGAGAAGGTCCCCTGACCATTGATGGCTAGTGGAGAAGGTCCCCTAATATGTGGTCAGTGGAGAAGGTCCCCCTAAAATTGGTGGTCAGTATTTACAGTATTGATCTGATATCGATGTGATAGAAGTACTCCATTCATACGATCAATGTCCGTTACTGATACGTGAATACGGATGTTCAATACTCATCTACTGGATGTACAATAGATGTTCAGTATTGATACGATCGATATTTGTATGTATTGAGTACAGAAGGTATAGGTACGTATATTGATAAGATGTGTGAACAATATTATTGATGATTGAAGGTACATGTACAGCATTGATACAAAACATAACCAGAATTGATAAGATTGAAGATGTATGATGTATTGATATGATAGATTGAAGGTATTGATAAGATTGATTGAAGGTATTGATAAGGATATTGATAAGACAGATGTATGGTATTGATATTATAGATTGAAGGTATGATAAGATAGATGTATGGTATTGATATGATAGGTATTGAAGGTATTGATAAGAGATGTATGATGTATGGAAGGTATTGATAAGATAGATGTATGATTGATAGGATAAGGTATTGATAAGATAGATGTATGGTATTGATATGATAGATTGAAGGTATTGATAAGATAGATGTATGGTATTGATATGATAGATTGAAGGTATTGATATATATAGATTGAAGGTATTGATATGATAAGATGTATGGTATTGATATGATAGATTGAGATTGAAGGTATTGATATGATAGATTGAAGCTATTGATAAGATAGATGTATGGTATTGATATAGTTAGGTATTGAAAGATAGGTATGGTATTGATAAGATAGATGTATGGTATTGATATAAGATAGATAGATTGAAGGAAGGTATTGATAAGATAGATGTATGGTATTGATATGATAGATTGAAGGTATTGATAAGATAGATGTATTGATATGGGTATTGATAAGATAGATATTGATATGTTAGATTGAAGGTATTGATAGATGATGGTATCCGTACAATATTGATACGATAGATGTACAGCATTGATATTATAGATTGAAGGTATTGATAAGATATCCGTACAATATTGATACGATAGATGTACAGCATTGATACGCACCTCCTGCAGCTTCCTCTCCTGGATCGTGAGCGTATTCAGGACGCCGCTCCCTCGGACATCCGGGATATCCTGCCACAGGGAGAAGGTGGAGCCCCGTGACGAGCGCTGAGAGCGGAACGAGCTGCTGGGGGACAGGTTACTCTTTGGACTCGCAGAAACGTCGTCCTCCTCTCCCGCCGTATCTTCCCGCTTCTGCCGCTGAAGCTCGCGGTTTATGGCCACGTCGCTGTATTCCTGGTACAGGATGGCTGGGGATAGAAGAATTACACAGAGGGTGATGGGAATAACGTGCTCTCATCGTGCTTCTCAGCCCCGTCTTCCTATCTTCCAGCAGAGGAGTACAAGGCGTACGGTCCCGGGCTGAGCGCACTACTACAGAAGTCTGTGTCGGGAGCAAAGAGGATTCAAAATGATAAAGAAAATGTAAGGAATAGTGGATGATGTGCAGCGTGATGAGACAATACAGAAATGGGTGGAGATCTGCGCGCTCCTGTCTGTACTGCGCAATTGTGATTGGACGTTCTCACCGTTCGGTTTGTATAAGTCAGGGGTGGGCAATTGTGGCCCTCCAGCTGTTGTAGAACTACAAGTCCCATGAGGCATTGCAAAACTGACAGTTACAAGCATGACTCCCAAAGGCAGAGGCATGATGGGACTTGTAGTTCACCAACAGCTGGAGGGCCACAGTTACCCACCCCTGGTATAAGTGGTGGGTTGGGGACACCTGTTACAGCACATCGCTGACGGCTAGAAGTGGACAATCCCTTGAAGGTGGACAATCCCTTGAAGGAGCAGCAGTAAGGACTTACAGGTGAGCAAGAAGCGGGACTGTCTCCTCTCGCAGTAGGATTGCCTCCTTTGGGACTCGGTGTCCTCTGGCCTCTCCTCGCAGGGTGACGGTCGGGCCTCCTCGCTGGGTGGTCTGCCTTGCTGCCCACCCTCCACCGATTTGCTCCTGAAAGGGTAAAACAAGTCGCCATGAGCCTCAGCGGGGGAGGCTGCCCAGGAACAATGGAAGGGCAAGGGCTGAAAATTCCTTAAACAGAACAAACAAAGAGACGTTTCAGGGCCAGACTTCAGCCTGGCAGAGCGGGGCCACGCCACAGGAACCACAACATTCCCCTCCCCTTCAGGGGGCCACTTATAAAGGGGCCAATGGTGACGCCGGACGATTATCCGCCATCATTCTGCCACCACATCAGATGGGCTTTACCAGTATTCATTCATCAGCTAAATCCTGAGATTTCCAAGTGAAAATCCTTCTGCAGGAAATACATCGGTGGGTACAGTACACATCCGCCACACATTTGCTGCGCATCCATTAAAGCTGAACTCCGGGCACAAAAAAAAAAACATTTAAATGTATTCCTCAATAGCCACAAAAGCTAGAAGTCCTCTTTGTGCACATTGAATGCCTTTGCAAACCTAGATATTACCTTGTAAAAAAAAGCAGTGACATCATCACTGTACTGTACATAACCTATGCAGAGAGCAGAGCTGTGGGAGGGGCCCACAGTAGGCTCCACCCACTACAGCAGGAGGCGGAGGCTAGACCAGTCCGCCAGCACAAGGAGAGAGCATAGCTGTGGGAGGGGCCCACAGTAGGCTCCACCCACTACAGAAGGAGGCGGAGGCTAGACTAGTCCGCCAGCATAAGGAGAGAGCAGAGTGGTGGGAGGGGCCCACAGTAGGCTCCACCCACTACAGAAGGAGGCGGAGGCTAGACTAGTCCGCCAGCATAAGGAGAGAGCAGAGCGGTGGGAGGGGCCCACAGTAGGCTCCACCCACTACAGAAAACTACACTGAGGAGGCGGAGACTAGACCAGTCCGCCAGCACAAGGAGAGAGCAGAGCTGGGGGAGGGGCCCACAGTAGGCTCCACCTACTACAGAAGGGGGCGGGGACAAGACCAGTCTCCCTGCAGAAGTAGAGAGAGCAGCAGTGAGCGGTCTTTATCCCAGGAAGTCTCACCCTGGATGACGGCTCAGATCTGGAAGAAAATGCAGAGAGATCTCCGAGGTTCCGGAAGACACAGGACGGATGGATCTATTATCCCGGAGTTCAGCTTTAAGGACTGTTGCATAATGTCAGCAAATGTGCTGCAGATGTGGATGAATCCCGGCAGCGGAATGTTCCAAGAGGCTCCAAATTGGCCCCTTGTAGTGATTTTCTATTTTTCCGTCCACTGAAGACATTTCTGCTCCCAATCCCTTCTAATTGGGAATGTAAAGTTCTACGTCTGCTCCGTGGCCCTATTGGGAAGATTTGTCTTACTTCCTGCCCTGGTGACACTTTCCCACACCGTGACACACAAGAAGTGAGGTGAAGTCTCCCCAACAGATTACCAGACTGCAAAATACAAATCCTCACCCAGGATCAATGCCGCTCCATCCAAAACCATAACTGCTGGTGGAGTCACACTTTCCGATGCCCCCGCCTGTGTGCCCGGGTGTAGACACATAGCCTGGGTATTATATATAGACCTCATCCACTATGCCTGGGGCCCCGGGGTCCAAGGAGCTCCCCTTATACATTGCACTTACCTGAGCCAGGAGGAGTCCGTATCCCTGGCAGGCGGCTGCAGAAGGCTGCTCACCCCGGCACTGTTACATCTCCTCTCTCTCCTTCCAGATTTACCTGCAGAGAAACGCTCATTAATCCCAAAAATCAGATTTGAACAGAGGAAGGCGCTCAAAGGCCAACTATATACCTTCACACGCCTTACTACCCCACATTGGGGTTGGGTGGGCATGTGCATCCCATTCCATCGCCCATTCCATCATTTGACATCCCATCCCATCCTAATGCCATCCCATCCCATCCTATGCCATCCCATCCAATGCCATTCCATCCCATCCAATGCCATTCCATCCCATCCTATGCCATCCCATCCCATCCTTTGCCATCCCATCCTATGCCATTCCATCCCATCCTATCCATTATCCCATCCTTTGCCATCCTATGCCATTCCATCCCATCCTATCCCATTACATCCCATCCTATGCCATCCCATCCCATCCTATGCCATCCCATCCAATGCCATTCCATCCCATCCTTTGCCATCCCGTCCAATTTCTTTCCATCCCATTCAATGCCATCCCATCCAATGCCATTCCATCCCATCCTATGCCATGCCATCCTTTTCTATCCCATCCCATGCCATGCCATCCTTTTCTATCCCATCCCATTCCATTCCATGTCATGCCATCATTTGACATCCCATCCTATGCCATCCCATTCCTATGCCATTCCATCCCATCCTTTGCCATCCCATCCCATGCTATCCCATCCCATCCTATGCCATCCCATCCTATGCCATCCATCCCATCCCATCCTATGCCATTCCATCCCATCCCATCCAATGGCATTCCATCCCATCCCATCCCATTCCTATCCAATGCCATTCCATCCCATCCCATCCCATCCAATGCCATTCCATCCCATCCATCCATGCAATTCCATCCTATCCCATCCAATGCCATTCCATCCCATGCCATTCCATCCCATCCCATGCCATTCCATCCCCCATCCAATGCCATTCCATCCCCATTCCCCCATGCCATTCCATCCCATCCAATGCCATTCCATCCCATTCCATCCCATCCCATGCCAATTCCATCCTATCCCATCCAATGCCATTCCATCCCATGCCATTCCATCCCATGCCATTCCATCCCATCCCATGCCATTCCATCCCATTCCATCCAATGCCATCCCCCATCCCATTGAAACAATTGAGTACTGACGTGATACTTTTTTTATTTGCACTAACATACAATTTTGAGGACAAGCTTTCGGGGAATGTCCCCTTCTTCAAGGTCCAAGCAGTACTCAATCACCTACTACAATCACCTCAAGCATCCCATCCCATGCAATTCCATCCCATCCAATGCCATGCCATTCCATCCTATTCCATGCCATCCTTTGCCATCCCATCCTATGCCATTCCATCCCATCCTATGTCATGCCATCCTTTTCTATCCCATCCCATTCCATTCCATGGCATGCCATCATTTGCCATCCCATCCAATGCCATTCCATCCCATACTATGCCATGCCATCCTTTGCCACCCCATCCCTTGCCATGCCATTCTTTTCCATCCCATCTCATGCCATTCAATGCCAAGCCATCCCATCCCATCTCATGCCATACCACACAATCCCATCCCATGCCATTCTTTTCCATCCCATCCCCATTCCATGCCTTGCCATCCTTTTCCATCCCATCTCATGCCATTCAATGCAAAGCCATCCCATCATGCCATGCCACCCCATCCCTTTCCATGCCATGCCATGCCATCCTTTTCCATCCCATCTCATGCCATTCATTGCCAAGCCATCCTATCCCATCTCATGCCATACCACACAATCCCATCCCATGCCATCCCTTTCCATCCCATCCAATGCCATGCCATATTTTGCCATCACATGCCATCCTAACCCATCCCATGACATTCTTTGCCATCAAATCCCATCCAATCCTATGCCATCCCATTCTGGGCCAACCCATCCCATTCTATTTCATCCCATTCATTTCTAATGCCATGCTATTCTAACCCATTCCATGCCATGCCGTTCTTTGTCATCCCATCCTACGCCATCCCATCCCACCCCAGGCTATTCCATCCCATTCAGTATGTCAACACATAGAGGGATGGGGTGGGGCATGTCCTGGAGCTTTGACTTCACAGCTAGAAGTCGATATTTGCATATTGTCAGCTCTAGGATTGGGGGCTCCTGGGACACTCTTGACGTTAAGGAGAGGTCCATGCCGCCATCTTGCTAGAAATATTTTGCTGCTATCTTTGGGAATTGGGTGCCGATTTCAGGGATGCCGATTCTGTCACCCCAAGGGTGCCCATTGGGTGCTATGATATGGATAGGTGAGCTGGTGAGTACCTACCTTCCTGGCTGGTGGAGGCCCCCTTCTCTCTCAGGGTGATTTTGGTGGAGAGGGATTTGCCGATTTTGGCGGTGAAGTTGTTCCTCCGTTGGCTGAGTTGCAGTTTGCTGATCAGTTCAGAAGCCGAGAACCTCCACCTCTCCTGCTCCACCTTCCCCCCAGCCGCCGCCACCACCACCGCCTCCTGGGGCTCCGGGGTCTCCTTCACGTCAGCTGCTGATGGAGGTCTGGGGTCTTCGGGCTCCGAAAACACAGAATCGTCCTCTGAGGGCTGGACGGGCGCCGAACTGCTGATGTCCGGTAGGTACAGGCGGAGTTTGCGCCCTGTGAGGGCAAAGCCAAAAAAAAAGGAAAAGTCTTTCGTCATCATCATCATCCTACTAATTCAAATAATGAGATGCGCCACATTGGGGGTGCTCATCCCTGTCTGAACTACTCCTGCTGCCCCCAGTGCCTGAAACATGTTACTGTGCAATGCGGTAGAGCTCGGTAGGTTACAGGAATATATTCTGTGATGGAATTCCGGTAGTTATACTAGCCGCAGGGGTGTCCCTAGGGTTGGTGTCACCCGGTGCGGTAACACTTGGTGTCACCCCCTCCGACGATCCCCGCAGAATGGATGGGATCTGCGGATTGAGCATAATGGATTGGAGATCGATCCGTTATTCTCCCCAATCCGCAAATCCCATCCATCCTGCAGGGATCGTCGGCTTTCTTTACAACTTATCTTTTCATGGAGTGGGTCCGGTGTCACCCCATGCGGTCGGTGTCACCCCGTATAGGTTGCAAGCCGACGATCCCCGCAGGATGGATCGGATCTGCGGACTGAGCATAATGGATCTGAGTCCGATCCGTTATGCTCCCCAATAAACAGATCCCATCCATCCTGCGGGGATCGTCGGCTTGCTTTCCAACTTACCTTTTCGTGGAGTGGGTCCGGTGTCACCCCATGCGGTTGGTGTCACCCAGTGCAGTAACACTTGGTGACACCCCCTCCGACGATCCACGCAGAATGGATGGGATCTGCGGATTGATCATAATGGATCGGAGTCTGATCCGTTATGCTCCCCAATCCGCAGATCCCATTCATCCTGCGGGGATCGTCGGCTTTCTATACAACTTACTTTTTCGTGGAGCGGGTCCGGTGTTACCCCATGCGGTCGGTGTCACCCCGTATAGGTTGCATGCCGATGATCCCCGCAGGATGGATCGGATCTGCGGACTGAGCATAATAAATCGGAGTCCGATCCGTTATGCTCCCCAATCCGCAGATCCGATCCATCCTGCGGGGTATCATCGGCTTTCTATACAACTTACCTTTTCGTGGAGCGGGTCCAGTGTCACCCCGTGCGGTCGGTGTCACCCGGTGCAGTAGCACTTGGTGACACTCCCTCCGACGATCCCCGCAGGATGGTTCGGTTCCGTGGATTGAGCATAATGGATCGGAGTCTGATCCATTATGCTCCCCAATCCGCAGATCCCATCCATCCTGCGGGGATCGTCGGCTTGCTTTACAACTTACCATTTCGTGGAGCAGGTCTGGTGTCACCTTGTGCGGTCGGTGTCACCTGGTGAGGGCAGCACTTGCCTCGGGACACCACTGACTAGCCGTATACCTTTTTATATATATATATATATGTCACTTACATGCGGCTTTGGCTTTGTCTGACCCCTGCGAGGTCCTGTAGACGGGTCGGGAATTCTCCGGGCCGGCGATATTCGGCGTCTCAGGCTGCTCACCGTCGCTCTCCATGCTGCTGCTCCTCTGCCTGTCCTGGGAAGGGCATTCAGGTGGCATATGGCGTTCCTCGGTGCTCGGGGGCGGGGGCTCCTCCGTCCGCTCCACCCCCGCGCTCTGGAAGTTTATGAACCAATGATCCGGCAGGTGGGCGCTCACTCCCTGGATGGCGGGGTTTAGGGGGCTCTGCGCCGTATTGAATGCCAGCTGTCTCTCTGCGCAGAGGGTGGGGACCCCACCGAACGCCAAGCTCTCCTGCTGGTACATGACCACTCGGTGGCGCTCTCTGGGGGGCGGCTCGCTGATCCCGGGCACCATGGTGCGCTCCCGCCCGTAGGAGAGAGGACTGTGGATTGGCTGGAAGTCCGGGAGAGCTTGCTTGATACTCCATGAAAATCGTGTTAGGGACACCAGGCCTGCGGAAGGAGACAGACGTCAGATCATAGGAAACGATCTCTGGACCAATCAACATGCAACTGTTCCTGGCCACTGAAGGCTCATCAGGGCAAGTCAGGGACTATAAATCAGAGGCTCCGGATGGACGGGAAGATAAATGGCGCCAAATTTCAGAGGTCTCTGGATACACAGGAGACACCTTCAGAACCAAGATATTCGCAGCGTCAATCATGTCGCCTGTCAGGCTGAGGTCAGAGGTCAGGAAGTAAAGTTTAGGATCTGACCTCGGTCAGGGTCATTAGCAATGTCTATTGTGGGAGGTGAGAGGTAATGATGGGACTATGGAGATTATCAGGTCCTGGGGCCTCCCCTCCCGGGGTGTGACTGGGTCTATGAACCCCCTCGGGGGTTGGGATTCGGGTCCTGGGGCCTCCCCTCCCGGGGTGTGACTGGGTCTATGAACCCCCTCGGGGGTTGGGATTCAGGTCCTGGGGCCTCCCCTTCCAGGCTGTGACTGGGTCTATGAGCCCTCTTGGGGGATGGGATTCAGGTCCTGGGGCGTCCCCTCCCAGGGTGTGACTGGGTCTATGAGCCTCCTCGGGGGATGGGATTTGGGTCCTGGGGCGTCCCCTCCCGGGGTGTGACCGGGTCTATGAGCCCCCTCGGGGGATGGGATTCGGGTCCTGGGGCGTCCCCTTCCGGGCTGTGACCGGGTCTATGAGCCCCCTCGGGGGATGGGATTCGGGTCCTGGGGCGTCCCCTCCCGGGGTGTGACCGGGTTTATGAGCCCTCTCGGGGGATGGGATTCGGGTCCTGGGGCGTCCCCTCCCAGGCTGTGACCGGGTCTATGAGCCCCTCGGGGGATGGGATTCGGGTCCTGGGGCGTCCCCTCCCAGGCTGTGACCGGGTCTATGAGCCCCTCGGGGATGGGATTCGGGTCCTGGGGTGTCCCCTCCCGGGGTGTGACCGGGTCTATGAGCCCCTCGGGGGATGGGATTCGGGTCCTGAGGGCCTCCCCCTCCCGGGGTGTGACCGGGTCTATGAGCCCCTCGGGGGATGGGATTCGGGTCCTGGGGCCCCCCCCTCCCGGGGTTGTGACCGGGTCTATGAGCCCCCTCGGGGGATGGGACGGGCTCAGGACCCCCCCCCCCCTGATGGCCATCCTCTTATGGGGTAACACCGAAATGTCTTGTGACGGGTCTATTCCTGATTCTGCCCCCTCGGGGACGGACAATTCCACTCAACAATTCCATCCACAATTCCCCCAATGATCCACAATTCCTCCAACAATTCCATCCACAATTCCAACAATTCCACCGACAATTCCACCAACAATTGACAATTCCACCGACAATTCCACCAACAATTCCTCCACAATTCCACCCACAATTCCATTTTCCACCGACAATTCCAAACAATTCCATCCACAATTCCACCCACAATTCCACCACAATTCCACCAACAATTCCACCACAATTCCATCCACAATTCCCGACAATTCCACCGACAATTCCACCAACAATTCCATCCACAATTCCACCACAATTCCACCATCAATTCACCCACATTCCACCCACAATTCCATCCACAATTCCACTGACAATTCCACCGACAATTCCACCAACAATTCCACCAACAATTCCATCCACAATTCCACCAACAATTCCACCAACAATTCCATCCACAATTCCACCAACAATTCCATCCACATTCCACCGACAATTCCACCGACAATTCCACCGACAATTCCACCAACAATTCCATCCAAATTCCACCCACAATTCCACCACAATTCCAAACAATTCCATCCACAATTCCACCAATTCCACCACAATTCCACCCACAATTCCATCCAACAATTCAATTCCACCACTGACAATTCCACCGACAATTCCACCGACAATTCCACCAACAATTCCATCCACAATTCCACCCACAATTCCATCCACAATTCCACCAACAATTCCATCCACAATTCCAAACAATTCCACCAACAATTCCATCCACAATTCCACCAACAATTCCACCACAATTCCACCGACATTGGAATAACTTTTATGGCGTATAAAAAGAGACAAAAACTGCGACATCAAGAATAATAATAATAGACAATAAGGATAATTATTTGATTGTTATTATTATTAATGAGGATAAGAACAATAAACAAATAATATAATAATAATGATGATTACAAAATGAATATAATAATATACAAATATGAATTATTTTATTTAATTATTTTAGGTATTTATATAGCGCTGTCATTTAACGCAGCTCTTTACATACATATAGTACATTGTGCGCTCCTCGGGGGCGGGGACTGATGGGAATGTACAATATATATATACTCTGTATATGTAAAGTGCTGCGATATAAATACCTGAAATAAACAATAATAGACAAACAATAAAAACAAATAATAATAAAAATAATAATATAATAATAATGATAAACAAATAATATGAATACAATAAACAATCTAAGCGCTCGCACACCCCTCTACACCCCGATCGGGGCGACACTCCCCACACCATGTGATCACATCCTGCGGCGTCTCATCCCCACCGATGGCAATAAATCAAATCTAGTGAAAGGCGAAGAGTGCGCACACAACACTCCGCAACATTGTACGCAGCCACACACAACATTCCATGCCGTGGTCAGAACATTCCACGCTGTGGTCAGAACATTCCACACTGTGGTCAGAACAGTTCACGCCGTGATCAGAACATTCCACGCCGTGGTCAGAACATTCCACATCGTGATCAGAACATTCCGCTCCGTGGTCAGAACATTTCACGCTGTGGTCAGAACATTCCATGCTGTGGTCAGAACATTCCACTCCATGGTCAGAACATTCTACATCGTGATCAGAACATTCCACGCCGTGATCAGAACATTCCACGCCGTGATCAGAACATTCCACACCGTGGTCAGAACATTCCACGCCGTGGTCAGAACATTCCACACTGTGGTCAGAACAGTTCACGCCGTGATCAGAACATTCCAGCCGTGGTCAGAACATTCCACATCGTGATCAGAACATTCCACTCCGTGGTCAGAACATTCACGCTGTGGTCAGAACATTCCATGCTGTGGTCAGAACATTCCACGCTTGGTCAGAACATTCTACATCGTGATCAGAACATTCCACGCCATGGTCAGAACATTCCACGCCATGGTCAGAACATTCCACGCCGTGATCAGAACATTCCACGCTGTGGTCAGAACATTCCACGCCTTGGTCAGAACATTCCACGCCGTGATCAGAACATTCCACGCCGTGATCAGAACATTCCACGCCGTGATCAGAACATTCCACTCCGTGGTCAGAACATTCCACACCGTGGTCAGAACATTCACGCAGTGGTCGAACATTCCACGCCGTGATCAGAACATTCCACTCCGTGGTCAGAACATTCCACACTGTGGTCAGAACATTCCACGCCATGGTCAGAACATTCCACGCCGTGGTCAGAACATTCCACAGACACAGACACAACATTGAAACCAGCAAAGCCAGGGCACTATAACAATCAACACAACGCAGGTAACGCAGTGCCAGACACATCGCCATGATGTGAATGAAGGATCCTGATTGGTGGAGCAGCCGGCGGAAATCGTGAAACGTTTGTTGGTTGGAAGTGACCAGGAAGAACCATTTCCTCCACCATCATACAGATATTTATCGACACGCATGACGGGGTCCATGTAGGTCCTTCAGTGATCCACAAGCCGGATTGGCACTGTCGCCATACTAGGGTCACGTACCCGTGTTGTGGCCAAGCATGATAGTGCCGTATGTCACATGACATAAAAAGGGCCGTGTGGCTTCCTAATGCAACACGCATTCGTACACGCATGTTAACGCGCTGCAAAGGAGTAAGAGGCCCAAAACAGCGAATCTACGCGAATTTACATGATCATTGCGTGGTGACGGTAATCCGCCGGCGCTCAGACTTTGCCTACGTGGCACTTTGGTGATTCTGCTCCGCATCCGAAGGCTCCATTTTGTTTTTCCGGACGGTTCCCCTTTTATTTCCGGACGGTTCCCCTTTTATTTCCGGACGGTTCCCCTTTTATTTCCGGACGCGGTACGCCACCTTCTGTGTCTCCACTTGGGATAAATGTCGCCTTTTCCAGCGCGGGGTTCCCTGAGTACAAGGCGCGGGCCCGGGACATCCCGGCGGCTCCGGATCCTGGCAGGCTGGCTAAGCTCCGAGCTTCGCAGTAAATCCCATAATTATCCGGCCGTATCGCTTTCACGGTAATTATAGACCCAACAGAGAGGAACACTCACTGCTCCAGAGAGAAGGAACACCACCAACCACACTTCTCTGGACGTGGGGGGGGGCACCGGGGGGGGCTTCACCTTACCATCATAGATCGATATACAATCTGTCCCCTCAATAGGAGACCACTGAAGAGTCCTGATGGGACTACAGCCTCCTGTCACAGGATTCTGTGCCATGCAACCTCCCTCTTCTGCGCCATTGTGTGTGTGTGTGGGCGGGGCTTCAGTGGGCTCTGAGAGAGGGGGCGGGGCTGGGACCACACTTGAACACTTGGTTGGGAGGGAATGAGGATGTGGGGATCGAGGTGGTATGAAATCGACCCGTCATCGAATCCCGATGTTTGGAGTGAAATTTTTTGTTCCTAGACGGGGCGGACTGACAACTCATGGGGCCCCCCGGGCAATAGGAGATCATGGGGCCCCTGTGTCCTCACCCACACCCAAAAAAGCCTATGAAAAAGCCAATGAAAGGTACCAGGGGCAACTCAGGGGGCCCCCTACTGACCCCGGGCCCTCGGACAGTGCCCGAGTGCTCGAATAATCGGTCCGCCCCTGCTCCTGGAGACTGGTGTCACTGTAGATCCCCCCCCCCCGATTCTCCACTTTCCTGTGACACCGTACCCAGCCTAAAGGTGACCATACACTCTGCAATCTACATGACCATCGACTGTAGCAGCCGTGCGCCTCACTGGATAGTAACAGAATTGTCCCCATAGGACATAGCTTTGGTAGATCCAGGGATTTGTTTCAGCAGGGACGAGGGGGAACCGGCACTGTATATGTAAGGGGTTCAAGGTGTCCTGGAGGGTCTATTGATACTGGCCAGTGGGGGATCTATTGTTGCTGAAGGGGTTATTGTTTCTGAAGGGGGTCTATTGTTGCTGGATGTGGATTTATTGTTTGTTGCTGGATGTGGACCTATTGATGCTGGAGGGGTCTATTGTTTCTGGAGAGGGATCTATTGATGCTGGAGGGGCTGAAATGTTGCAGGAATGTGATCTATAGTTGCTGATGGGGGACTAATTGTTGTACGGGAGTCTATTGTTGCTGGAGGAGGATTTAGTGTTATGGTGGGTCTATTGTTGCTAGAGGAGGATTTATTGTTATGGGGGGTCTATTGTTGCTAGAGGAGGATTTATTGTTATGGTCTATTGTTGCTAGAGGAGGATTTATTGTTATGGGGGGTCTATTGTTGCTGGAGGAGGATTTATTGTTGATGGATGGGGGGCTTATTGTTGTACGGGGGCTATTGTTGCTGGGGGGGGATTTATTGTTACAGGGGGTCTATTGTTGCTGGATGGGGGGCTTATTGTTGTATGGGGGTCTATTGTTGCTGGGGGGAATTATTGTTACAGGGGGTCTATTGTTGCTGGATGGGGGGCTTATTGTTGTACGGGGGTCTATTATTGCTGGTGGGAGATTTATTGTTACAGAGAGCCTGTTGTTGTTGTATGGGGGTCTATTCTTGTTGGATGGGGGGCTTATTGTTGCTGGTGAGATAGTAATTGTTACAGAGGGTCTATTGCTGCTGGAGGGGGAATATTGTTGAGTGGGGATCTATTGTTATGGGGGTCTATTGCTGCTGCTGGAGTGGAATATATGTTTGTGTGTAGATTCTATTGTTGCTGGGAGGGGGTTTATTGCTGCAGGGGGGCCCTATTGTTGCTGGTGTGGTACCTGTTGCTGCTGGAGAGCAGGACAGGAGGAGTTTTTGGAAGCCCTCTCGTCAGCCCAGCCTCTACCAGGTCCATGTCCTGTCCTACCCAGTCCTGAATCTCGGGGGGGGGGGGGGAGCCCAGGCAGGACTCTCTAGTGGCCCCCCGGGTATTACAGGATATGAGGATGGAGGGGTCCCTGTGACATGGAGGATAATGAGAGTGAATGGGAAGGATTTACAAGGGATAATCCCAGGCGTTCCCGGCCCGGGGCCACTGCACAGACTTCTGCCCTCGGAGCACTTCGGAGGCTTCTGCGCTGGGAGGTGTTTGAGGAATTAGAGAAGGAATTCGCCCCCCCCCTCCCCTCCCCCCCCCCCCCCCTCCATACTGTCAAGGAGCCCTTCACTCACCTACAAATTATACAAAGTATGCAGAACACCTCGGTGTGATAAATGATCCCAGTACACACCTTCATCGCAACAATGGAACCAGTACAGACCAGTAGATGGTCACCAAAGGGACCCCAGAGATACAATATCAGAGCAAGGCCATGAGGATCCAGAAATAGGAGAGGAATCTGCACCATATTGCCCCAAGTGGGGCCGCCGGCCTTTCCACCCACATGAACCTTCATGGCCCCCCAGTCTTAGTCCGTAGGGTTTAATATTGAGTTGGCCCCGCCCTTTGCACCCACATGAACTTTAATGGCCCCCCAGTCTTAGTCCGTAGGATCCAATATTGAGTTGGCCCCGCCCTTTCCACACACATGACCTTTAATGGCCCCCCAGTCTTAGTCCGTAGGATCCAATATTGAGTTGGCCCCGCCCTTTCCACACAAATGACCTTTAATGGCCCCCCAGTCTTAGTCCGTAGGGGTCCAATATTGAGTTGGCCCCGCCCTTTCCACACAAATGACCTTTAATGGCCCCCCAGTCTTAGTCCGTAGGGTTCAATATTGAGTTGGCCCCGCCCTTTCCACACACATGACCTTTAATGGCCCCCCAGTCTTAGTCCGTAGGGTTCAATATTGAGTTGGCCCCGCCCTTTGCACCTATAACAGCTTCAACTCTTCTGGGAAGGCCCCCACAAGGTTTAGGAGGGTGTCTATGGGAAGGTTGGACCATTCTTCCAGAAGCACATTTCTCAGGTCAGGCACTGATGTCGGGGGAGGGGATGTCGGGGGAGGAGGCTGGCTCGCAGTCCCCGCTCTAATTCATCCCAAAGGTGTTCTATGGGGTTGAGGTCAGGACTCTGTGCAGGACAGTCAAGTTCCTCCACCCCAAACTGGCTCCTCCATGTCTTTATGGACCTTGCTTTGTGCACTGGTGGCAGTCATGTTGGAACAGGAAGGGGCCATCCCCAAACTCCTCCCACAAAGTTGGGGGCATGAAATTGTCCAAAATGTCGCCTTAAGAGTTCCCTTCACTGGAACTAGGGGGCCAAGCCCAACCCCTGAGGAACACCCCCACACCATAATCCCCCCTCCACCAAACTTTACACTTGGCACAATGCAGTCAGGCAAGTACCGTTCTGGTAACCGCCAAACCCAGACATGTCCATCGGATTGCCAGACAGAGAAGCGTGATTGGTCCCTTCAGAGAACACGCCTCCCCTGACCTAGAGTCCAGTGGCGGCGTGCTTTACACCACGGCATCCGACGCTTTGCATTGCACTTGGTGATGGAAGGCTTGGATGCAGCTGCTCAGCCATGGAAACCCATTCCATGAAGCTCTCTACGCACTGTTGTTGGGCTCATCTGAAGGCCACACCAAGTTTGGAGGTCTTTAGCTATTGACTCTGCAGACAGTTGGTGACTTCTGCGCACTGTGCGCTTCATCATGCGCTGACCCCGCCCTGTCATGTGACGTGGCCTACCACTTGGTGGCTGAGTGGCTGTTGCTTCCCAGTGGCTTCCACTTTGTTATAATCCCACTAACAGTTGAGCGTGAAATATTTAGTAGCCAGGAAATGTCACGGATGGACTTATTGCCCAGGTGGCCACCTATCACGGGACCACGCTTGGAGTCACTGAGCTCCTGAGAGCGACCCATTCTTTCACCAATGTTTGTAGAAGCCGTCTGCATGCCTAGGGGCTTGATTGTATACACCTGTGTCCATGGAGGGGATTGGGCACCTGAATCACATGATATGGAGGGGATTGGAACACCTGAATCACATGATATGGAGGGGATTGGAACACCTGAATCACATGATATGGAGGGGATTGGAGCACCTGAATCACATGATATGGAGGGGATTGGAACATCTGAATCACATGATATGGAAGGGATTGGAACACCTGAATCACATGATATGGAGGGGATTGGAACGCCCGAATCACATGATATGGAGGGGATTGGAACAACTGAATTACCATATGGAGGGGATTGGAACACCTGAATCACATGATATGGAGGGGATTGGAACGCCCAAATCACATGATATGGAGGGGATTTGAATGCCCAAATCACATGATTGGGAGGGGATTGGAACGCCCGAATCACATAATATGGAGGGGATTGGGACACCTGAATCACATGATATGGAGAGGGAATTGGAACACCCGAATCACATGATATGGAGGGGATTGGAACACCCGAATCACATGATGTGGAGGGGATTGGGACACCCGAATCACATGATGTGGAGGGGATTGGGACACCCAAATCACATGATGTGGAGGGGATTGGAACACCCGAATCACATGATATGGAGGGGATTGGAACACCTGAATCACATGATATGGAGGGGATTGGAACGCCTGAATCACATGATATGGAGGGGATTGGATCACCTGAATCACATGATATATATATAACAACCTAAACAAGGGCTCATAAACAGATCTACTTGACAAAAACAGCTTCCAAACAGAACCTCTCCGTAGAGCCAAATGCTCAGACTACCCCCAGGTGAGACATTGAGAGCCCCTATCAGTGTAGTTTCCTCCATACAGAACTGCCCCAGCTGTGGTATAAATTACCTCAGTAAGACCATGGGGGGTTATTTACTAAAGCAAATCCTGGAGCAACTCTACACAGAAGCCAATCAGCTTCCAGGTTTGATTGCCGAAGCATGAAGAAGCGGAAGCTATTCCCCCCCCCCCCCCCCATGTTTTCTGGCACAGTTGGAGCCCTTTCCTCACCAAACCGGACAGTTCTTGACTGTGTTCACAAATGTCTGACACAGATCAGCCCCTGCTGCACCAATAGAAGCTTTATTCACCCAAAACGATGAGCGTGGCAGGTGTGGCTCACGGCTGGGAATTTTGATGACAAAGGTTGTCCCACTTCACTCCCTCGGAACAAATCAGAAATGTGATTCCTGGAAAAGACGCCTTTTAATAATCCGAGTCCGGCGGCAGATGAGAGCGCCGAGCGCTTCCTGTGTTTTGTCTCTGCAGGTTATTCATATTTCAGAGTCGGCCCTCCGGAGCCCCAGGGCCTGGCTGACTTCTAATCATTTCTGTGTGAGGAGTGTCAACGAAGGCAGGAGGAATGTTCCCCCGGCTCACCTGCGGCCGCTGCCATGAGAGGGGACATTCCCTATACAGGGGGCCGACCCCCTCCGCACTGCGGACGATCCGAATGAATCGAACAGAAAGGCCGACACTGCGTCCGAGATATTCCCAAGTCAGCCATCGATCGTCTGTACTACAGGAACCAGGACGACTATGTGGGGGCATCGTATATCCTCCTGTATAGATGATCACATCAGTCTGTGTACCAGAGGAGCTTACACTCTAATGTCCCCTCCCCCACAGTCCCATCAGTCTCTGTACCAGAGGAGCTGACACTCTAATGTCCCCTCCCCCACAGTCCCATCAGTCTCTGTACTGAGGAGCTTACACTCTAATGTCCCCTCCCCCACAGTCCCATCAGTCTCTGTACCAGAGGAGCTTACACTCTAATGTCCCCTCCCCCACAGTCACATCAGTCTCTGTACCAGAGGAGCTTACGCTCTAATGTCCCCTCCCCCGCAGTCCCATCAGTCTCTGTACAGAGGAGCTTACACTCTAATGTCCCCTCCCCCGCAAGTCCCATCAGTCTCTGTACCAGAGGAGCTTACACTCTAATGTCCCCTCCCCCGCAGTCCCATCAGTCTCTGTACCAGAGGAGCTTACACTCTAATGTCCCCTCCCCCACAGTCCCATCAGTCTCTGTACCAGAGGAGCTGACACTCTAATGTCCCCTCCCCCCCGCAGTCCCATCAGTCTCTGTACCAGAGGAGCTGACACTCTAATGTCCCCTCCCCCGCAGTCCCATCAGTCTCTGTACCAGAGGAGCTTACACTCTAATGTCCCCTCCCCCACAGTCCCATCAGTCTCTGTACCAGAGGAGCTGACACTCTAATGTCCCCTCCCCCACAGTCCCATCAGTCTCTGTACAGAGGAGCTTACACTCTAATGTCCCCTCCCCCACAGTCACGTCAGTCTCTGTACCAGAGGAGCTTACGCTCTAATGTCCCCTCCCCCACAGTCCCATCAGTCTCTGTACCAGAGGAGCTTACGCTCTAATGTCCCCTCCCCCACAGTCACGTCAGTCTCTGTACCAGAGGAGCTTACGCTCTAATGTCCCCTCCCCCACAGTCCCGTCAGTCTCTGTACCTGAGGAGCTTACGCTCTAATGTCCCCTCCCCCACAGTCCCGTCAGTCTCTGTACCTGAGGAGCTTACGCTCTAATGTCCCCTCCCCCACAGTCCCGTCAGTCTCTGTACCAGAGGAGCTTACACTCTACTGTCCCCTCCCCCACAGTCCCATCAGTCTCTGTACCAGAGGAGCTTACACTCTAATGTCCCCTCCCCCACAGTCCCATCAGTCTCTGTACCAGAGGAGCTTACACTCTACTGTCCCCTCCCCCACAGTCCCATCAGTCTCTGTACCAGAGGAGCTTACACTCTACTGTCCCCTCCCCCACAGTCCCATCAGTCTCTGTACCAGAGGAGCTTACGCTCTAATGTCCCCTCCCCCACAGTCACCATCAGTCTCTGTACCAGAGGAGCTTACACTCTACTGTCCCCTCCCCCACAGTCCCATCAGTCTCTGTACCAGAGGAGCTTACACTCTAATGTCCCCTCCCCCACAGTCTCATCAGTCTCTGTGCTGTGTATTCATGTGAGATTGGATCTGCAGCGGGTGTCAGTAACGCCCTCCCCCCCCCCCCCCCCCGGACGCAGGTTGCAGGCGCAGTGTGTTTGCCCGCATGGATGGATACGTTTGTACCATGTGATCCGGTTAGTAGTGAACGCAGGAAAGGGAATGGGATTGAAATCGCACAGAGCTGCATGAGATGGCGCAGGAAAGCACAGCCTGGTGCGGACCGGCCATGTAGACCGGAGATCTCTGCTCCATGTCTGCTCTCACTTCACTGGAAAAGGCTTTCATCTGCTGCCAAGTGTCTCTCCTGGAGATCCCGCCAGTAACAGAACTTCCTGCTTCAGGCTGATTGTGTGGCGCGGATTCAGGGTTGTCAGCTGACAGCAGGAAGTGTTGTCACCAGCAGGAGCTCCAGGAAAGAAACTGAAATGTAGTCACCAATAATGAAAAGTGCCTCCAGAGAGAGAGACGGGGGGCTGGACACAGGTCTGGAGACCCTCCATGATTGGCCGGTGTGAAAGTGGAAGTGATCGAACATTCTTTGGCTTCTACTGTGTGATGAGACACCTAGCTAACAGGCAGGAAGCTTCACTTTCCTCATTCATTGCCTCATGTCAGAGATTACTGAGCTTCAAAGATGGCAGATTGTTGGTGTCGCTGTGACTGAAGTCACCGATTTATGTGCCGTGTGGCGAGGAACAGGAACAAAGGTGATGGCGGCGAATACAGCGTCTGGGAAATGGCGTCCTGATCAGCAAAAGCGCAGTCACCATGGTCACCTGACTATGGATTGTGACCCGGGATACGGAGACAAACAAAAGTAGCTGCAGAGCTCAATCTCAGTCCTCACCAGACTCAGGCTTCCCTTACATTGGGTGGTCAGTGGGAAGAATGTCCCTTACATTGGTGGTCAGTGGGAAGAATGTCCCTTACATTGGGGGTCAGTGGGAAGAATGTCCCTTACATTGGGGGTCAGTGGGAAGAATGTCCCTTACATTGGTGGGTCAGTGGGAAGAATGTCCCTTACATTGGGGTCAGTGGGAAGTGGGATCAGAATGTCCCTTACAATATTGGTGGTCAGTGGGAAGAACGGTCCCTTACATTGGGTCAGTGGGAAGAATGTCCCTTACATTGGGGTCAGTGGGAAGAACGTCCCTTACATTGTGGGGGGTCCCTCAGTGGGAAGAATGTCCCTTAATTGGGGGTCAGTGGAAGAATGTCCCTTACATTGGTGATCAGTGGGAAGAATGTCTCTTACATTGGGGGTCAGTGGAATAATGTCCCTTACATTGGTGGTCAGTGGGAAGAACGTCCCTTACATTGGGGGTCAGTGGGAAGAATGTCCCTTACATTGGTGTCAGTGGGAAGAATGTCCCTTACATTGGGGTCGGTGGGAAGAATGTCCCTTACATTGGTGGTCAGTGGGAAGAATGTCCCTTACATTGGGGGGTCAGTGGGAAGAATATCCCTTACATTGGTGATCAGTGGGTCCAAGAATGTCCCTTACATTGGTGATCAGTGGGAGAATAACGTCCTTACATTGGGGGTCAGTGGGAAGAATGTCCCTTACATTGGGGGTCGGTGGGAAGAATTTCCCTTACATTGGGGGTCGGGAGCTCAGTGGGAAGAATGTCCCTTACATTGGGGGTCGTGGGAAGAATGTCCCTTACATTGGGGGTCGGTGGGAAGAATGTCCCTTACATTGGGGGTCAGTGAGAAGAATGTCCGTTACATTGGTGGTCAGTGGGAAGAATGTCCCTTACATTGGGGGTCAGTGGAAGAATGTCCCTTACATTGGGCGTCAGTGGGAAGAATGTCCTTTACATTGGGGGTCAGTGGGAAGAATGTCCCTTACATTGGTGATCAGTGGGAAGAATGTCCCTTTACATTGGGGGTCAGTGGGAAGAATGTCCCCTTACATTGGGGGTCAGTGGGAAGAATGTCCCTTACATTGGTGGTCAGTGGGGGAAGAATGTCCCTTACATTGGGGGTCAGTGGAAGAATGTCCCTTACATTGGGGGTCAGTGGGAAGAATGTCCCTTACATTGGGGGGGGGTCAGTGGGAAGAATGTCCCTTACATTGGTGGGTCAGTGGGAAGAATGTCCCCTTACATTTGGGGTCAGTGGGAAGAATGTCCCTTACATTGGTGGTCAGTGGGAAGAACGTCCCTTACATTGGGGTCAGTGGAAGAATGTCCCTTACATTGGGTGGTCAGGTGGGAAGAACGTCCCTTACATTGGGGGTCAGTGGGAAGAATGTCCCTTACATTGGTGATCAGTGGGAAGAATGTCTCTTCCATGTGGGGGTCAGTGGGAATAATGTCCCTTACATTGGTGGTCAGTGGGAAGAATGTCCCTTACATTGGTGGTCGGTGGGAAGAATGTCCCTTTACATTGGTGGTCTGTGGGAAGAATGTCCCTTACATTGGGGGGTCAGTGGGAAGAATGTCCCTTACATTGGGTGATCAGTGGGAAGAATGTCCCTTACATTGGTGATCAGTGGGAAGAACGTCCCTTACATTGGGGGTTCAGTGGGAAGAATGTCCCTTACATTGGGGGGTCCGGTGGGAAGAATGTCCCTTACCATTGGGGGTCGGTGGGAAGAATGTCCCTTACATTGGGGTCCGGTGGGAAGAATGTCCCTTACATTGGGGGTCGGTGGGAAGAATGTCCCTTACATTGGGGGTCATGTGAAGAATGTCCGTTACATTGGTGGTCAGTGGGAAGAATGTCCCTTACATTGGGGGGTCAGTGGGAAGAATGTCTTTACATTGGGCTTGTCAGTGGGAAGAATGTCCCTTACATTGGGGGTCAGTGGGAAGAATTGTCCCTTACATTGGTGTTCAGTGGGAAGAAATGTCCCTTACATTGGGGTCAGTGGGAAGAATGTCCCTTACATTGGGGGTCAGTGGGAAGAATGTCCCTTACATTGGTGGTCAGTGGGAAGAATGTCCCTTACATTGGGGTCAGTGGGAAGAATGTCCCTTACATTGGGGGTCAGTGGAAGAAGAATGTCCCTTACATTGGGGTCAGTGGGAAGAATGTCCCTTACATTGGGGTCAGTGGGAAGAATGTCCCTTACATTGGGTGTGATCAGTGGGAAGAATGTCCCTTACATTGGGGGTCAGTGGGAAGAATGTCCTTACATTGGGGGTCAGTGGGAAGAATGTCCCTTACATTGGGGGTCGGTGGGAAAGAATGTCCCTTACATTGTGGGGATCGTGGGAAGAATGTCCCTTACATTGGGGGTCAGTGGAAAGAATGTCCCTTACATTGGGGGTCAGTGGGAAGAAATGTCCCTTACATTGGGGGTCAGTGGGAAGAATGTCCCTTACATTGGGGGTCGGTGGGAAGAATGTCCCTTACATTGGGGGTCGGTGGGAAGAATGTCCCTTACATTGGGGGTCAGTGGGAAGAATGTCCCTTACATTGGTGGTCAGTGGGAAGAATGTCCCTTACATTGGTGATCGGTGGGAAGAATGTCCCTTACATTGGGGTCAGTGGGAAGAAAACGTCCCTTACTTTGGGGGGTCAGTGGGAAGAATGTCCCTTACATTGGGGGGTCGGAGTGGGAAGAATGTCCCTTACATTGGGGGGGGTCAGTGGGAAGAATGTCCCTTACATTGGGGGTCAGTGGGAAGAAACGTCCCTTACATTTGGGGGTCAGTGGGAAGAATGTCCCTTACATTGGGGGTCAGTGGGAAGAATGTCCCTTTACATTGGGGGTCGGTGGGAAGAATATCCCTTACATTGGTGATCAGGGGGAAGAATGTCCCTTACATTGGGGGTCAGTGGGAAGAATGTCCCTTACATTGGGGGTCAGTGGGAAGAACGTCCCTTACATTGGGGGTCAGTGGGAAGAGAATGTCCCTTACATTGGGGGTCATGGGAAGAATGTCCCTTACATTGGGGGTCGGTGGGAAGAATATCCCTTACATTGGTGATCAGTGGGAAGAATATCCCTTACATTGGGGGGTCAGTGGGAAGAATGTCCCTTACATTGGTGGTCAGTGGGAAGAATGTCCTTACATTGGTGATCAGTGGGAAGAATGTCCCTTACATTGGGGGTCAGTGGGAAGAATGTCCCTTACATTGGGGGGGTCAGTGGGAAGAATGTCCCTTACATTGGGGATCAGTGGGAAGAATGTCCCTTACATTGGGGGGGTCAGTGGGAAGAATGTCCCTTACATTGGGGGTCAGTGGGAAAGAATGTCCCTTACATTGGTGGGGTCAGTGGGAAGAATGTCCTTACATTGGTGGTCAGTGGGAAGAATGTCCCTTACATTGGGTGGAAGAATGTCAGTGGGAAGAATGTCCCTTACATTGGGGGTCAGTGGGAAGAATGTCCCTTACATTGGGGGTCAGTGGGAAGAATGTCCCTTACATTGGGGTCAGTGGGAAGAATGTCCCTTACATTGGGGGTCAGTGGGAAGAATGTCCCCCTTACATTGGTGATCAGTGGGAAGAATGTCCCTTACATTGGGGGTCCGTGGGAGGAATCTCCCTTACATTGGGGGTCCGTGGGCGGAATCTCCCTTACATTGGGGGGTCAGTGGGAGGAATGCTACCATCTCATTGGGTGGTCAATAGTCTGAAGCTCACAGAACGATCTCTGGAGAGGCCACGTCGGGAACATTTCTCCGTGGATTTTGCACCATTTTTCTATCTGTAAAGTCTTCCTAAACGTTTTATGTTTTGTGTTCAGCCCCAGATGCTGATTTAATAGACTGTCAGCAGAAGTTGTAGTCTGAGCGGCGGAGATATTAATGTCAGGGGCGTGGAGAAGGGACACGGGTGGTCATGTGATGCTCTGCGGGTTTAGTAATAGCTTCATTCTGTGATCCTGCGTGTGAAGTCTGGTGACACCTGGAACATTGAAACATGGAAGGTTGTCCTGGCGTGTCTCGGCGTACAGCACACACACCGCCTGTCACCTCCGAGTGACACGGCACACATCTATTAATAGAAGGGCCCCCGCATGGACAGGGCGGGCTCTACAGGCGGACGGCTGGGCGGGGGCCCCGGGGGATATAGAATTCTATATTTGTATCACTCGCTATAATCACAGATACAATGTATCCAAAATAAAAGGTGACTCCGCTCTGAGCCAATGCTCCGTGTTTCGGGATCCCGGAGGGGTTCCCCCTCGTCAGTCTCCTCTGGAGGGGAGATCTGTAAGAAGGAACGGCAATCGGAAAGAAATGTTTGGGGGTCTCCGCCGGGCCCCTAATCCCGAAAATCCCCGGATTTTCCTCCTTGACCTGTCTGACCGTCTCCTCTATCTCTGGGGGACCCTATTAGGTTCTGACGGCCCACCAGGGGCTCCCACCATCCCTGCCGGATATTTATTTTATGCTCTGGGGAAGGCAATAGGAGAGACTGCAGCAGGAGGAGTGAGACTCTCAGAGATGAGAGATGGTTCCTCAGCCCACCGGAGACCACCTGTAGCTGAAAGATCTCATTTTGGACTTTTTGAAGGAACGGCTGACTTCTGAAGGGGGATTTGTAGACGAGAACATGAAAATCAATCAGACAGAAACGTTTTTGGGGTCTCCACCAGCCCCCTAATCCCGGATTTCCCTCCTTGGCCTGTCTGACCTTCTCCTCTATCTCTGGGGGACCCTATTAGGTTCTGACGGCCCACCAGGGGCTCCCACCATCCCTGCCGGATATTTATTTTATACTCTGGGGAAGGCAATAGTAGACACTGCAGCAGGAGGAGTGAGACTCCAAGCGAGCTGGAGATGATAGCAGGGTGAGAGATGGTTCCTCAGCCCACCTGTAGCTGAAAGATCTCATGTCGGGCTTTTTAAAGGGACAGCTGACTTCTGAGGGGGGGGGGAGGGGAAACTTGTAGATGGAAACTACAAAAACAATCAGAAGGAAAAGTTTTTTGGGGTCTCCACCGGCCCCCTAACCCTGATAATCCCGGATTTCCCTCCTTGGCCTGTCTGACCATCTCCTCTATCTCTGGTGGACCCTATTAGGTTCTGACGGCCCACCAGGGGCTCCCACCATCCCTGCCAGATATATATTTCATATGCAAAAGGAGAGGCTGCAGCAGGAGGAGTGAGACTCTAAGAGATGAGAGATGGTTCCTCAGCCCACCGGAGTCTCCGCCGGCCCCCTAATCCCGGATTTCCCTCCTTGACCTGTCTGACCGTCTCCTCTATCTCTGGGGGACCCTATTAGGTTCTGACGGCCCACCAGGGGCTCCCCCATCCCTGCCAGATATATATTTCATATGCAAAAGGAGAGGCTGCAGCAGGAGGAGTGAGACTCTAAGAGATGAGAGATGGTTCCTCAGCCCACCGGAGTCTCCGCCGGCCCCTAATCCCGGATTTCCCTCCTTGACCTGTCTGACCGTCTCCTCTATCTCTGGGGGACCCTATTAGGTTCTGACGGCCCACCAGGGGCTCCCACCATCCCTGCCGGATATTTATGCTCTGGGGAAGGCAATAGGAGAGACTGCAGCAGGAGGAGTGAGACTCTCAGAGATGAGAGATGGTTCCTCAGCCCACCGGAGACCACCTGTAGCTGAAAGATCTCATGTTGGACTTTTTGAAGGAACGGCTGACTTCTGAAGGGGGACATGAAAATCAATCGGACAGAAAAGTTTTTGGGGTCTCCGCCGGCCCCCTAATCCCGATAATCCCGGATTTTCCTTCCTTGGCCTGTTTGATGTTGGAAGTTTACGGGGACTCCCCCCTCCCCCCTGCCCCAGTAACGTGACCAGCGAGGGGGCCGAGAGCGGCATTGTGTACTGGGAACTTCTCCGAACAAAGGGATTAATAGTGACGAGAGAAAGTCGCCCCCCCCCCCTCCAAACCAACGACTTTCCCCAATCTTCAGAGTTGGCCGGGACAAGGCCCCCCCCCCCCCAAACCAACGACTTTCCCCAATCTTCAGAGCTGGCCGGGACAAGGCCCCCCCCCCCTCCAAACCAACGACTTTCCCCAATCTTCAGAGCTGGCTGGGACAAAGCCCCCCCCCGGGGGTCCGGAGGGAACCACAGGTGCTGGTAGGGGGCCCTGGAGAAGTTTCAGATCAACAAGTGAGAAATGAGGGGATGGGATTGGGGAGGTCGGGGGAGGTTGGTGGGGGGGGGATCTATCCAGGGAAAGTTTGTCCATCAGATGTGGTGGTCTGTCAGATGGTCATCGGTTGGTTGGTCTTCAGTTGGTTGGTTATCGGTTTGTCGGCCATTGGTCGGGTAGTCATCAGTTGGTCGGTTAGTCATAGGTTGATTGGTTAGTCAACGGATGGTCAGCCATTGGTTAGTTGGTCATCGATTGCTTGGTCATCAGTTGGTTGGTCATCATTTGGTTGGTCATCGGTCGGTTAGCCATCAGTTGGTTGGTCATCAGTTGGTTGGTTAGTCATCGGTTGGTCGGCCATTGGTTCGTTGGGGTTGATTGGTTGGTCATCGGTTGGTTGGTCATCAGTCGGTTGGTCATCGGTTGGTTGGTCATCAGTCGGTTGGTCATCGGTTGGTTGGTCATCGGTTCATTGGTTGGTCATCGGTTCATTGGTTGGTCATCGGTTGGTTGGTCATCGGTTGGTTGGTCATTGGTTGGTTGGTCATTGGTTGGTTGGCCATCGGTTGGTTGGCCATCGGTTGGTTGGTTGGTCATCGGTTGGTTGGTCATCGGTTGGTTGGCCTTCAGTTGGTTGGATATCGGTCGGTCAGCCATCGGTTGGTTGGTGGAAGGAAGAGAAGTCACGGTACCTCATTGTGAGTGTCCACAGGCGTCGCGTCCTCTTGCAGGTCCTGGCATCCCGGGGAGATCATGGCACGGAGATCCGGATTGATGTCGCCAGGCCCCCCGCCGGCCCCGGGGCGGCCCCCCTTCCCTGTGTCTGTGGCTCCTGGCAGGTGCTTCCTGGGATCTCTCTCTCCATGTAAATCCCTTTTTTTTTCACATTTCTCCCCCCTTTGCGTTGCCCCCGTGGTCTCCTTGCGCCCCCCGTCCTAAGTCCCTGACCCCCCCCTCTCTCATCCTATCAGCGATCTCTGTCCAGACGGTACCCCCCACACCGTGCCCCCCCCCCCACTCCTAGGCCATCCTTGGCACCTGCTGTGCACCTCGGTGTGCGCCCTGAGTGTAGAGAGCCCAGAGTGAGATGGGATGTGTGCTGGCTGGGGACAGAGATGGGGGGGGGAGGGGGAGTATTGTGCTGACATGTCCCAGCCCCCCCCCCAGACATGTCTATGCTCACAGCACAGAACCGGTTTTGGCGGCTCCCAAAATAACAGGGAGATTCTGTTTGCACATCTGGGAGGCAGGGGTGTCTCCAGATGGTGGGGGGGGGGGTGCTGGTCCATGGGAGGGAAAGGGTTACACCGCCTCTGCGGAGGGGGCAGGAGGGGGGCGGGGGGGGGGGGGGGGCAGGAGGGGGGCAGGATGCCAGAGAATCCCAGAAACCAGCCAGAGGAGCTTCCATTGTCAGCAAACAAGAGGCTCAGTGAGCAAACAAGGGGCCCCTCCCCCCACTGCCCACTCAGTGCCCTGCCATCCATCACCAGGCAGGCAACTGCCCCCCCCCCCAGGTATCATCCCAGGGGGCCCCTCCCCCCACTGCCCACTCAGTGCCCTGCCATCCATCACCAGGTGGACAACTGCCCCCCCCAGAGGTATCATATCAGGGGCCCCTCCCCCCACTGCCCCAGTCCCCCATCACCAGGCGGGCAACTGCCCCCCCCAGGTATCATCCCAGGGGCCCTGCCCATCAGTGCCTTGCCATCCATCACCAGGCGGGCAACTGCCCCCCCCCCCCCAGGTATCATCCCAGGGGGCCCCTCCCCCCACTGCCCACTCAGTGCCCTGCCATCCATCACAAGGCGGGCAACTGCCCCCCCCCCCCCTTCCCCAGTGGTATCATCCCAGGGGGCCCCCCGGCTGCCAGCAGAAATGCCATCATTACCCCAAAGTGATACTAGGGGTGCCCTGTGCTGGACTGATGCCACCTGCTGTGCCCTACTGTATGGAGGCGCCCCCTGCAGGGAATATCAGGGACTGCACCATGGAAAAACTCCAATGCCTCATCACACCTAACTACTTACCTCTACTACACCTACCTCCTGATAGAACTACTTACCTCTACTACACCCACCTCCTGATAGAACTACTTACCTCTACTACACCCACCTCCTGATACAACCACTTACCCCTACTACACCCCACACCTCCTGATAGAACTACTTACCTCTACTACACCTACCTCCTGATAGAACTACTTACCTCTACTACACCTACCTCCTGATAGAACTACTTACCTCTACTACACCCACCTCCTGATAGAACTACTTACCTCTACTACACCTACATCCTGATAGAACTACTTACCTTTACTACCCCTACTACACCCACCTCCTGATAGAACTACTTACCTCTACTACACCCACCTCCTGATAGAACTACTTACCTCTACTACACCTACCTCCTGATAGAACTACTTACCTCTACTACACCCACCTCCTGATAGAACTACTTACCTCTACTACACCTACCTCCTGATAGAACTACTTACCTTTACTACCCCTACTACACCCACC